ATCTCGGGCCGACTCTTCGCCGACTGTCGGCGTGCGGGGCTACAATTAACTGAGCATCAGCACCAGAACAACCAGAGGCTTTCATGTAGTTGGCTGAAAACCACTCGGTGTTTCGTTTGTGTTGCATCAACTGGGAGCCGAGCGTTGGCCTCCGCCGAGCTGCTTTCCTCTCTACGCCCTGCGACGGCCTGCGGGATTTATCGCCGCTTTCCACCATCACTGTCAGCCGCTCATTAAAACCAAATGAGCGTTCTTCTACAGAGCCTTTGGAAGAGAACAATTTTCAGACGCTAAACTGCTTACGGTCCACTTAAGAAAATGTTGTATCATGTGTGATACTGACGAAGCGCGTTGTCTGCGTGTGTTCGCTCAGATTCAGTGGATCCTCCTCAAACGCTGCACAGCTGCTTAATGTATGTTTACTGCTGTACAGCAGGAAGCATGTTGGGTAAAAAGGCCTTTGGTGAAAAATGATCCAGGCTGCTTGTGAGCGCTCTGCAGCTATAAAGCTGCCCACTCCATCACGGCTCCTATCGCTGAGATTGATCAGCCCGCTCCCATTTGAGTGATTTCCCTCCGGATTCAATGCAACGCAATTAGTCGCCTGCCGTATTTTGCCTTTGCGTTACTCTTTGACCCTCCGTCGCACGTATGAGTCAGTGCGGCACTCTGCTGTTATGAGTTCCTGCTAACAGCTCCTGTATTTGAGCAGCTCCACTAAAGAGGATCAGGGATGGCTGGCGAGCAGCCAGGCGGTTGAACCTGCTGAGAGGGAGTTCAGCTCTGACCATGTGCAGCGGGGTTAACACCAGTCAAAGTGTCTCAGTGTCTCTGAGACGGGCGCCTGAGCGCCGGGCATCGCCATGAGCGCCCTCTGACCTCCCTGGCTCCTGATGCAGACTGTAAAATCAGAAACTCCACTCCAGAAGTGATCTCCTTAAGTAAGGGTTTCCAATCCAATTTTACAGAAGGAGAGTGCTTAAGATTAGAGATAGTGTTTTTATTGTGCTCTTCAGTAATAGAAGGAGTGAAGGGAGAGATTGAGGGAAGGAAAGGATGGCAGATCGATAAGGACTGCTCCCTCTGCTTGCCTTCACTCTTCGTCATCGTGCCTGTGGAGATGAGGTTCAGGCGGCTCGGGGCGGCAGGCCGTGCAAGGAGGGCATTAAAATGTCGCAAAGGGATCTGCTCTCCTCCCATAAACTCTGCCAATAGAACGACGACTCGTACTGCGGCCGTAACAAAGAGCAATCTCTTCTGCAGAATGAGGTGTGAAGCGTACCTGACTGCTTTGTCAGAGGTTTTTTCATTAGGCGCTGAGGATGTTTGCCGGGCTTGGCTCGGCCCAGAGAAAAGGGCGTGTGGCGCTCTGGGATGAGTGCAGCTCCCCTGATTTGCATGGGCCTTTTTTCTTCTCCCAGTCCATTTCCAGTTGAATAACTCGTTTGTCACATACATCAGAGGAAGGCGAAGATCATACGAGAGGCAGTGTTACTTTGTGTTTCACTAATGAGGCCTGTACTCTCCGCCTCCTTGCTTTTGCCTTGCTGCCCTTTGAAACAGCAGCGACACGGCGCTGCAGCACGGCGCTGCAGCACTGTGGCACAGTTCCTCCTCTGATGCGCAGCTGCAGGCGGCGATGCTGCTTGTGTGCCACTTGCTCTCGGTCCTTGTTGCACTTTTCCAAGGATCGGACCGACGAGAGCAAAACGAGTCCGTTCCTGACACAGACACTTGAGAAAGTTTAGTTGAACTTGAGACACGGCGAGTAACAAACCCGACATCACAGACTCTTACCTTTAGTCAAACAAATAAAGAGGGTAAAACAAACAAGAAAGCAGAGCTAGAAGCATCGCTGTGATGAAAGAAGAAAGAAGAAGGCTGGGAAAAACTGCCGGGTTTTAGGGAAATAAAAAGTTTCAGTTCTGGACAGAAAGATTCTTTCAACAAAGTGTTTATTCAGACGATTCAGGTCAAACTGGCCTTGATTCTCATTACCAACTGCTTATCCAAACAGTTTAGGATGAAGATCATTTGGTTTTGTTCAGCTGTGACTCCTTCATGCTCCACTCCGCCTGACGGGATTCTAATTGTTATTAATGGCCGACAAGAAGAACAATATTTCTGGGATTTCATTTTCTTTCCAGCGCACAGATCATTATTTTTCTGGCTTTATTGATCAGCTGGTGGTTCAGCTCACCTGTTCGCCTGGCAGACACAGAGCGGCATCAATGAGAAGATGAATATGATGCTTCCTCACCTCCATCATAACCTCAGCACCAGCCTGCATGCTACGCAGGATGACGCTGCATGGAAACCGAGCTTACAGATCCGATTATCCCAACCTGGATCCCAAACCTCCTCAGATGTGAGAGGCTGTTTGCAGCCTCAGTTTAAGTGGACGCTGGTTTTTCTCTGTAAACTCTTAAAAACACTGACGGCGTTTAAGGGCATGTGTGTTGACAGCGACTCAATAAAAGAAATACCTGCAGCTTTGATCCGTTTAATGACGTGAGCAGTGTTTGATGTACAAACGCAGCGGCGTTGTCTTGTTTCCGGGGCTGCTGAGCGCGCTCTGCCTCCGCTGGACTGTTGATGTGTTGACGGCTGGCGCAGGACGCTTTAAAGGAGGACGCAGGATCCGGTGGTACTTTGAGCTCTCCTACCGGGAGGTGCATCATCTCTTCTTTTTTTTTGAGGTAGCAAACCCCATTCTCCTTTTAAAATGGGCGCTTAGAAGTTGAAATTTGCCAACATCAAGAGCTTCCTTGAATTAGGATGCCCTGCACTGCAAGTGTGTTATATAATGCCATGACTGGAGGCAGAGAAAAAGTAGAGCACAGGGGTAGAGATTAAAAAAGTTTCTGCATAAAAAGAGAGGAGGGAGGAAGAGATGAGCATAAAAGGGAAGGAGGGGGAGGAGGATTGAGGGAGAGACAGAGGAGATGGAAATACAGAGTAATAAAAGCGGGAGGAGGGGGTGTTTGGGTCGGCTCGTCCAGCAGGAGGCTGGTCAGCTCCTCTCAAGGCTCCCCTCTTTTTTCATTTAGATAATGGAGCATTTCGTTAATTGGCAGCGCACAGTTTAGGCCGAGCTTTGTTTGCCAACACGTCAGAGCAGAATTATTTCCACTACATTTACAGCAGAGTGTTGCTCAGCTTCCTCTCATTAAAGCCTCCTGCCCAGATCGAGCTTTCTCTGGAAATCTGCAGGCAGAGGCCAGAAACCACTGCAGCAAAATAAAACGGAGAGGAATAAAACCCATTTATCTACTATCTCACCATCCGCAGCCGGCTTGTAAAGAAACAGACAGAAACTTCTCTATCTGTTTACCGTTATTGTTTTTTTGCCACTCATAAAGCCTCACTTCTGGCTGCTTCTTTTCCTTCTCCTCCCTCACCAAAAGAGTTATGCTCGCATGATCTGTATCTTTAAATGTGATTGAGGGTATTTGCAGGGGGTGTTATTGGATTGTGGTGTTATTGTCTCACCTTTTCCCTCAGTGTTTTTAATGCCGGGATGGATATCCGCTCCAGCAGCACTGATCTCACTGTTCTGCTCATTAGGCCGGATTCTCAGAGACTAGTGCTTCGCAACAATAAGACACGCACTTCTGTAGTCCAGCCATTACCGAGTTTAACAATGTGCACCAGCCAGAAAAGTCCATTATTTCTGCAGCTCATCATCCCAAGCATCCACACGAGACAAAGGGGCTGTGAAACCGCTTCGGTGCAAAGGCCCATCTATCACTAAAGTCAGGAGCGGAGACAGAGGGGGTAAGAAAAACATGTGGTGCAGAGACCCCATACTGGGAGCTCTGGCAGCATATGGGAGCCGCTGTAAGGCAGCTTTAGGGGCTAAACATTGGTTTTTAATGAAAGTTTCTCACTCAAGAAAGAGGAAAACATTAAATCATAATCTAATCAGCATTTTATTAACAGGGTCTGGTTCCGATTAAACTCATAGAAAACCACAACCTGCTTAAAAAACAAAAATAAAAAACAATTTGAACATGTTGCTGATTTTGAGAAATTTTGTGTGTCAAAGTAATAATATTTACATGAATGATAAGAGCGAAACATCTGCACTACTGGTAGAAATATCTGTTTTTGTCTCAGTTAAGGTAAATGTGGGGATGCAGGTATAAAAACTGCAGCTCTTTTTGTTGTCTTTCCTCCTTGACAAGCTTTTGCTCGTGTTTATCATCATGTCCAGCTTAACAGTGTTTGGTAACGGTCGGGAAAAATGACTCCGTTTCTTAAACATAAACAGGAAAGTGGTTAAATAATCTTGCCTTGGATTTTTAATCGTTCTCCTGTTTGTCTTTTTCTTTAAGACGATTCTGATTTAGTGTAGGAGGAGTTTGTACAACCTTCAGTTTGTTTTGTTCGTCAGTTTTATTGGCTTTCTTTATTGTTTGGAGCCAAAATCAAATTTGAATACAAATCTGCCAGAAATGTGAACAAAACAAAAAAGGAAAAACTTTTCCAGGAAAAGACAACAAATCTTTTCCTGAGAAAAGCGTAAAAGTCGCCTTTGTGAGCTGCGAACCTGAGCCAGGAAGAGGGCCGCGGCAGCGAGCGCTCAGAGCGGAAAGCAGCTTTCTGCTGGAACTATTAAAGAGAATCTCGTTGAGGGAGCAGCTGCTCGTTTAACAGACCTGTCACTGAAATCAAAGAGCTTAATCAAAATTTGATCAATTAATTGATCTTTCTTCTTGTGCTTTGAGATTCCCCCTGACTCTTGGCCCTCTAACTGTAAGCCACGCTCTACAATGTACACTATGTTAATTAGAGATGATCAAGGGTTCCTCTAATGTGAGCTGAGACGTGATATGATGGCTGTTTCCTCTCGGCTCTGAAGCTTGGCAGGACAGCTCTCCCCGGTTGCCCTTTGAGTTTCAGGAGGCGACCCGGACGCCTTTCATGCTGCTCACACAACCCCAACAACGCGCTGTAGCTTTAATTTCCTCTCTCTTCTCGCTGTGTGTCTCTCGCAGGGTAACCAAGAGGCCACCAACCCTCCTGAAGCAATGGCCCAGCCCTACACCCCCGCCCAGTACCCGCCTCCCCCACAGAATGGCATCCCTGCAGAGTTTGCGGCGCCGCACCCGCTCCCGACGCAGGACTACACCGGGCAGAGCCGGGTGCCCGAGCACGCCATGACCCTGTACACGCCCACACAGACGCACAGCGAGCCGGCCGGCACTGACAACAGCACGCCCGCCATCACCGCCACCACGACCGCACCGGTCAGTGCCCTTCACCACCTGCAAACACTGTTCTCAACACGCTGTCAGCAAGTAAAATATATTCTTCTTATCATTTTATACTTCATTAACTGATTTACTGTGATTCTTTTTTTGTGCAACTAACAAAAGATGAGAAATATTGTTGTGAAATTTCATGAATTAGCTACATCTCTGTCTGCAGGGAAATGTTGGATCCAGAAACTTTGAAGGCGCATCGCAGTAAATGCAAATCATCAGGAAAGATATATATTCACTTCAGAAAGACACACACACACACACATCTGATCATTTGGATGATTCTGGCTAATGACAAATAAAAAGCTACAAATTTAGCTTCTCAGAAAATTTGAATATTAATATTTAAAGCTGCATTATGTAACTTTTATATAAATATATGTATTTGTACATATTTGTTGAAACTGCCATTTTACCATGACAGAATATGGCCTGTTGTGAATGCTAATGCTAGTTAGCATAACCACAGATTACGTCAGATACACGGTTCGCCCGTAATTCTTAAGTTGTTTCTCTGCCATTAGCACATTTAGCAGCGTGTACATGAGTTGATTGACAGCGCTAATACCCTCTTCCTGGCTGATTGCCTATTTTTGATCTGAAGCGGTGCATTTCTGCAGACGGCAGCATGAGATCGATGTTTTCAGAGATTATGTCAACACGTTGGCAGTTTTAACACATAGAATAAATAAAAACTGATTATTTTAAAAGTTTCATCCTGCAGCTTTGATACAGAAATGCTGATGAACTTGGTGTCCATCTGATGCCTGGGCTCCTTTAGTATGAATATTTGTCACTTCTGACCTGAAGTACTAAAGTGAATGAACTTTCTGATGACAGTAATTGATCTGCGATGCGCCTCCAACCTGAGCAGAAATGACTGAGTGCTGCAGGAGTTGCAGCCATTTTGAAAGACCAGCTGTGGTTTAGAAGTGAAGCTGCTTAGCAAACAGAACAGGAAACATCCAGATTAGCTTCACACCAGAACATGTTGTCTGGGTTTCTCTCGCGGCTCTCAGTTCAGCTGCATTCAGCCTTTATGTTAGCTGTAATTAAACTCCACATAAATCATAATTTTACGTCTTTGTACATGATTTTAAACAAGGTGTGCAAACAGATTGTTTCAGAAAACTTTAGAAAATTATTTTCTGCATAATTTAACTTGCACATGTGGCCCCATCTGCACTACAGTACGGTGCATTTTTAATTGTCTCCACTGCCCACCATATTGTAGCTTTATTATGTCAGCATAAGTTGCATATGGAAGTTCTGCACATTGCCTCAGAGGATTGCGGGTTTTGTGCTCGAAGCAGACACAGTCGGCCCACAAAACGCCCACCAAAGCCTGCAAAGCATGACTGCAGAGCAAAACACCAAAAATATTCACATTATGAACCATAAAGAGACTCTTTACTGGTTTATAGGCGGTGGCTTTTACATGATGCTCAGTTGGTATCATTGGCCCAAAGAAAATATCTCCAAGTGTCACTAAAGAAATTCTGCAACTTCATGTTAGACAACAAAATGTTTAATTTATTGTTTTAAAAACAGAACTGAATATTTATTTATTTATTTCAATATATTTCTATTATTGTATAAAACAACCTCAGTAGTTAAATGAAATATCTGGACATGGAATCAATGATTTTATGCAGTTAATTGTCAGAAATATTGATTAATAAAATAATGATTAGTTTCAGTCGTCGTGTTGTTTCTGCCGTTTTCTGACTCTAAATGCTTCAGCTGAAATCACATCAGTCAACGTTTCTCCCGTTATTGTTGGATTTTGATGGCCGGAGTTAAATTGTGGCCTTAGTTTCTGTTCTGGTCGTCTGCTGCTGTAGCCCATCTGTTCCAGGTTCCACTGGTTGTGTGTTCAGTGTGGTTGTTACTGAAAGATGTTTGCGTGTGAAAAGTTGCTGTTAAAAGTTTGACTTGCTGCCATGTGGTTTGTGGAAACGGGTCAATTCAACAGGTTTACCAAAGACAAATGTCCAGGGAGTCGATGAACAGAGAAATAAATTTCTGGGTTTTATTTATGTCCAGATATTCAGTTGCTCTGAGGTTTCACAATTGTTTTTGTGATTTTTCTGAAGCTACTACAGACATTTTTGCAAGGAATTTGCTTATGTGTGACAGTAAATGTAACTTTTCGTCACCTGCCATCTCAGTCAGGGACTGTAACGTCACATCAATTAAGGCAGAGGGATCAGTGAAGTAGATGTAAGAAATACTGCCACCTGCAGGTGGGAGTTAGCATCACTTCAGACCAATGTCTGACAATTAATTTCCAATAAACTTCCAGTTGTTTTGGTGTGAAAACTGTGGGAATCTGTTGATTTTGCATGAATCGCTGCTTGATGTTTAGTGGTTTCAGAGGGAAGCTCAGATCTGAGATGTCTGAGGATGCAGAGCTGATCAGATCCTATCTGACAGGAAAGAGTTGGTCTCTCTGTCAGAGCGACACGCCCTTCACCCTCTCTGCCCTCGGTGAAAGCGGCACGGCGGAGATGCCTTTTACTCCAGCTGCTGTCCAGTCGGATCAGCCTGAGCGTGAAAGTCGCCTTCCTGCCGCCTCAAACTCAAATCCCTCCACTCGGGATTTACATCCCAAGTTTCAGATAAAAGCGAAGACGACTTGTGTGGCTCTAATGTGTATAAAAGGTGGTTAGAGATGAAAGGAGGAGGGTTCTTCTTCTTCTGTGGTGACGCGGGGCGTGGGGGTCACGGCGAGGTCGCAGCCCCCCTGGGAGGAATCCAGGTCACTCATAAAGATTGTTGCTAACGCTCCCATTTTCCCGGCCTCACAATTACTGCACAGCCGTGAATATTTGGCAGCAGAAAAAGTGCTTAGGCAGCACAAGCCGAGCAGCGGCGCATTATCATCGCCTTGTAATGTAGCAATGTTTGATTTGAAGATTTGTGTGACGCTCTCCAACTGCTCCACAGTTATATCCTGCACTTACAGTAATGGCTGACATGCAGGAGAGTTTAAAGTGGGGTGGGGGAGGAGGGACTTGGCAGGAGGTTCACCCTCCTCCTCCTCTTCCTCCTTCGTCTTCCTCCCCCTCTCTGACACTGAACACCACTCCTCCGCTCGATGCCTCCCTGTCTCGCTTCTCTCTCCGTTTCGCATTTGATTTCATTTCATCTGTTCGCCCGCTGTGAGAAAAAGCCCAGAGATGGTCGCCGTGGAGAGATGAGAGCTCGCCTGGCTCTCCCCGCATCCAGCCGTCTCTTCTCGGGGAGGACAGAGGGATGAGATTAGTGGGGTGTAAACACAGAGCCTAATCCTCGGGGGCCGCTGGTGTAGTGTCGCCCACTGCTGCGTTCGCTGCCTTTAATGACGGGCCCAGCCGGTTTGCTCTGGGTGCCACAGACGGGCCCGGGTGCCTTTGATTAGGGCACCCTGCAGAAACACAGATTGAAGGAGCAGATCCCCCCTCTGCTGGCTCGGCTCTGCTGCGCTCAGCTCCTCCACCCCGCCACGACGCTTTGCTCTGCACATCTTCTTGACTTAAAGACTTAAAAAGAGTCAAGTGAGTGAGAATTCAGCGAAACGTATGGATTCTGTGTCAATTCCCCACAGAGAGCGGAGTGTGTGTGTGTTTTAATGAGGCGCAGGGAGCGCTGGCTCCTTCCCTCTGCGTCTCCACCAGGAAGGTGGCGCTGTCCGCCGCCCGGTCTGCAGGCCCGGCATCGTGTTCAAACAAGCTGACTTGAAAGCAGGCGACTTGAGGAAGAGAGGCAGCGCCGAACTTTTCTCCAAATCCTTGGAGACGAGGGTAGCAGAGGACTGCCGGGGAGCGAGCTCGTTATCTGGCTCGGCTCAAATAGTCTGAGGTTTGGTTGAATTTCATGAGTAATCATTCTCTTTTCAGATAACAAATTAAGGCAGTGGCATTAGGGCAGCACTCATTTCCAGATTTTTCACAGCCCGTGTCAGCGGCATGAAGACTTTCCAAAGGGTATTCTGGGGGACTGTGATAACATAGACACACACACACACACACTTGCAGGAGCATGCAGAAAACATGGACGAGCTCATGCAAACACGCGCTCTGGACTCCGGCGAGGCGCCTTTAAAGCATGGAGACAGACGGCAGCAGGGTGTCGCTTTCAGAGGCTGAGCCGATGGCCGCCATTAAAGGGACGCTGACGGCGATCTGCAGCAGGAGATCCAAACGCTCAGATGATTGAATAGATTATATTGTCACAATACCGGCTTCCACGTCTCAAACAGTCGGGAGATAACGGTAAACCAGGAGGAGGACTGGATTTGTCCTGCTGCACCAAAACCAGAGCAGGAATTTAAATGTACAGAAAGATGATCTGCAGATATAAATGCGTTAAGGGTTCATATCTGCATTTACACCTGAAGCAGGAAGTGGTCTACAGTGCACAGCATTCTGGGTAAATACAACCAAAGCGCTAGCTGAGAAGAGACTCCAGCTCTGTCACTAAAGACGAGAGAGAAATCCTCCAGCCGCTAAAATCTGATGCGACTCCATTTTTGTTTACATGTTGCGAAGGAAGAAGCTGCATTTCTGCATTTCTGTGAATCCAATTCACAAAAATGCAAAATACTCAAATCTAATTATGAATCCTAATTTGATGATTCTGGCTTTCTGCTAATGAAAACCCAGATTCCTGTGAAAACTGAGTCTATTGCAGAAACGTCGGCCCAGTGAACAGAACGTCCATGTGACATGAACATCATTTCCATCAGGACATTATATGAACATATCAAAACATGTCTGGGTTAAGATTCTGTCTTTCATTGATCTGATCTAATATTCTAATGTTCTGTAAACATAATTCATCAGCTGGAAGCCAAAATTAGCAGAAATAAACAATGTAAAGATTCTCTGATTTTAGCGTTTTGAAGTAAACATCGACATCCTATTTCATCAGGAATAAGACGCTCCAGGCGTCGTGGTGTTGATATTCAGACAGTCGTGCAGCAGGAGATCGATTGGCTCTCTGATGTTTGGAGTTTTACGGCTCCTGTTCGGGTTTGGCCCGATGTAAACACGGCGCCGGGCGTGACGCGGCCATTTTTACTGAATGATTTCTGAGCTGGAGGCCGCAACAGTGACTCTGGGCTCTAAAACGAAATTTAAAACCCCCAAATTTACAGACCAAAGTCCCACGCATGGAGGCTCAGAGACTCGCAGGAGCACCATTCATTTTGCCAGGCTGCACAGTGAGTGCTGCCTCTGAATGTGAAATAATAAATAAAAATGAAAACTGTGGTATTTCTCAGCCTTGGGAAAGGCAAATTCATCCCCTCCTGTTGTTTGCTGGGTTTTTCTTGCTCTATTGTGTCAGTATAGATATAAATCCATGGAAGTTTCCTACAGACCTGGAAAGTTTGACGTTTTCTTTTCCCACTAACCAAATTCAGGTTGATCTGGACCTGCTGTACTCACACCGGGTCTACATGTCAAACTGTGATAAAAGAATGTTCTTCACATATTTCTGAGAACTCTGTCGCCTTAGTGCCATCTGCAGAAATAAACCACATGGTCAGAAACAACCAATCAGAGACAGGAGGAAGCTCTTAGTGCTGTCAATCACTTTATGTATGTGCTACTCGAGGTAGTGCTGGAGCAGAAGTGACTTATTCTCACAGAAAAACTCATCGATGGTCATGCTAACTAGCATTAGCATCCACTGCAGGGTTTTTTCTTAAAAGTTGAATACTGTGATCTTTAAATGATCACAGTATTCACAGATCCCGTTCCTGTGCTTTAGGGCTGAGCTAAGTGACTCCTGGGGTGTCCAAAGTGTGGCTCGGGGGCCATTTGTAGCCCTTCAGATTATTTTGTTTGGCCCCGGAAAATAGTTGTGATATTTCTGAAGTAATGATACAGATTTCATAAAGATTTTTGTTCATTATTGATCAGGCAAATCTAAAAAAATTATTTTACAAAATGCAAATAAATTCATTTGTGCGTTTTTAAGTTAATGAATTTTGCGCCCCTCCAGTAGCTCAAATGACTCGGTTTGGATAATAAAACTTTGATACAATTCAAGCAGAATCAAAGTTAACAGTTTTCATTGAAATAAGAATTTTAATAAAAATCCCAGGAATCCAACCGGGAATTCTGGTCGGATTCCTTTTTGCTGAAAATTAATCTGGATGTCTGCAAACAGGCGTGATAAAAAGCTCGACAGACGGAGCTGCAGGACAGCGGAGCCTGCAGCCCGTGTTTGTGTTTTCTAGTGCAGGTCGACTCCTGAACGCTTTGCCTCCTGAGCAGGAAGGACGGAGTCTGGGCCGGGCCACCAGCCTCTCCTCCAGCTGATGGAGAGCTTATATTTGCAGCTTTTTAGAGAGAGAAAACAAACCGGAAGAGGAGGGTAATGAATTAAGGCTTGGGCATTATAATTCTTGTGAGCGAAGACTCCAAAGCCCCCCCACACCGGCTCCTATTTAATCGGATGTAATCTACCTGCTTGGCAGCATTCCAATCAGATAGTTTCAATTATGCTCTTGTAATGCCACTCTGCGAGGAGGGGGAAAGTGCTGAGCAGAGCACTTTGCAGGCGATTTGCAAATAACAGCAAGGGAGTCTTTTAGAGAAATGACTGAACAGGAAGCCAGAGAGCTGCAGGAGTTGACAGCTCTCTCACTCTTAGCTTTGCTGGCTTTGGCGGTGACGGTGTGTTTTGCATCCCACCTCCTCCTCCCTGTGACAGCAGCTGTCGGGACAGTAAAGTGCCACTGAAGGTGGCCTCCTATGGTAATACAGCGGTAATTATTTTCCACCGCTACAGCGCCGTTTCACAAGCAGGCAGGCAGGTTGGAGCCTCGGGAGCAGCGGCGCAGGCAGCATTCCCGGATCTCGGTGACACTCGAAGTTATTGAGTTAGTAGTTTGCAGTCTGAGATGCTCGGAGTCAGCAATTCAGCGTTTGTGTTCCCAGAATGTGTGCTTGGCCCTGATGTCAGCGGGCTGCTGGCCTGTCTGCGCGCCGGCTGAAAGTTAATCTGGATGTCTGCAAACACGCGTGATAAAAAGCCCGACAGACAGAGCTGGAGGACAGCGGAGCCCGCAGCCCGGCAACATACGCTAAAGGTCGAGCGTGTCATGTGTGACCGATGAAACAGATTGACCCGAGGGGCTCCGGTACCTTGTCACCCTCCGCGGTCCAGCATCTGTCTGCAACGTGTCACCCCTGGGCCCAACATGGCCGCTCAGGCTATTAACCTCCAGCGCGCGAGGACACGGCTCTGCGCTCGTCCCTCTCTGTCACCAATCCGTGGCGTCCGGACGGCGGCGCGGCGGCTCAGGTGGAGCTACCCGGACGGCCGCGGGCCAGGCGGAGCGGGACCTTGAATCAAACAACTGTCACCGCTAACAATGTATGTCACCGTCTCGGAATGGGCCATAAAAACCAAATAAATGACGGCCATTACAGTGGAGATTGTGATTATGATAATGAGAATAATAAAGGCGATCATCATTACGATCATGATGATAATGATAATACTGTGATGATGAATTATAATGAATAAATCCTGAGCCCATTTCCTAAATGGTGGGAATGTATCACTAAGAGAGGCCTGCAGCCACGGCTCTGCGAGTCATTTCAACCGTTTGGACTCGGGCAACAACCTCCTCTCTGTTCACCGCTGCATCGCCTCCACATTGTGTCTGTGTGTGTGTGGAGGTGTGTGTGTGTGGAGGTGTGTGTGTGGAGGTGTGTGTGTGTGGAGGTGTGTGTGTGTGGAGGTGTGTGTGTGGAGGTGTGTGTGGGGTGTGTGTGTGTGGAGGTGTGTGTGTGTGGAGGTGTGTGTGTGTGGAGGTGTGTGTGTGGAGGTGTGTGTGTGTGGAGGTGTGTGTGTGTGGAGGTGTGTGTGTGGAGGTGTGTGTGTGGAGGTGTGTGTGTGTGTGGAGGTGTGTGTGTGTGGAGGTGTGTGTGTGTGGAGGTGTGTGTGTGGAGGTGTGGTGTGTGTGGAGGTGTGTGTGTGTGGAGGTGTGTGTGTGTGGAGGTGTGTGTGTCGGGCTCAGAGAGTGCTTCCCAGGAGACCCTGCAGTTTACATATCACATTCAAACAGCTTTTGTGCTCAATATCTGCCACTTTCACTCCCTCAGTTCCCTCAGTTCCTTCAGTTCCCTCAGTTCCCCTCCCCCCTCGGTCTGTTTCTGTTTTTAACCCCCCCAACGCCACCGGCTCTAAATCAGCCTTCAGTCCTGTTGGTTTTATTCATTTGTTTGCTATTATGAAACTGAAACAATGAAGCCAAGTTCAAACTTTATCTTCTCCTGATTAGTGACCTCTAGTGGTCAAGGCTGTAATTACGTGACTCTCATTCAACCACTAAAGTTTCTCAGATTTCTCCACCAGCATGAGAAAAGAAAAGCAGCATGTAAGAAAACACACAGCAATCTAAAAGCTACATAAAACAATAAGAATAAACGAATAAAAAGATTACAGCCATATTCTGTTAAATAAAACAGTTTTTTTGGTTAAGTTTTCATATTTTTCACATTTATTCCTTTTGTATTTTGACTTTTTCCCATCCAACAACAAAAATGCTGAAAATCCATCCCAAGCAGCTCAGAGGAGTGAAATGAAACAAACACAAAATAAACATGACAGAGAATCAGATTCGCGTCCTGATCCAGTTACATACTGAAAAAAACGTTATATAAATATGTATCATGGTGATCCAGGGCTGAAGGAAGGATGGCAAACATATGCGACAAATCTGACTGTTTTGTTATTAGTTTAATTTGAAAACATGACAAGAATGAATAAGAGATGATCTGAAATAAAACTGGTTTGATTTTGGGTCGTTACTGTTTAGGAAACATGTTGGATGATTTTTACACATTTTGATGATGGATTAACTATTAGTGACAGATGTTTTTATGCCCTGTGAAATTAATCTGACTTATCAATTGAATGCAAAAGCAGAAATGTTTTGCTTAAAAACTTATAAATGATTTAGATCAGATTTATAGGCAACACTGGATGTAAAGTCTTAAAGTTAAGCAATAATTGTCTCAGATGTTATTAAAAAATTCTTTCCCCCTCAAATAAAAACTCATTAGTGAGCAGTTTTACCTGCCAGATATCAGCTAATCACCATTTGGCTCCACACTTCTATCAATATTTGTCATTTTCTTCTCTGAAAGAAAGAAAATGATCCCATCTAATGGAAAACTTTTAGCCCAGCAGAGCAGGAGACAGAGGATAAACTCTGCATTTGACCAATGAGCTTTTTGTCCACAGAAAATAAAACAAGGTCCATCTAAAGAGACAAGCTAGCAGCAGGTTTGCTGAAATCCATCACCGGTGTCACACTGAGAAACAAGTGGAATTTGTCATTGACATCAGACACATCATTTATACAGAAATGTCAGCGTCGCATTCGCATAATGATGGAAACAACAACGCTGAGGGCTCTGGGCCTCGCACTCTGATGGTTGTGTGCAAACGTCACCTATAATGTGTCTTTAGTCTAGACATGTCAGGGCTCTGTGGGATCTATATCCACGCCTTTTTGTCAGCGCCTTCAATCTTTCCTGTTGCTCAGGAGCTAAGTGCAAGAGATTAATAAGTAGATTTGTAATGCACAACCTCAGGTTTGACACTATAAGTCATCGGCTGTTTATCGCTCAGGCTTTCTGAGTAGATTGAAAAATGGCAGATGTGGAGTTAAGTTAGTCAGCCGGGCCTCCCGCCTCCCTCTGTCTCTCTCGTTGTGCAGGACCAGGAGGTACAGTACGCCGCCGCCGCAGCAGCAGCTAATGAGCAGCTTGTGTCTTTTCTGTTTGTTTCCCTCCGGCAGACAGATGACGTGACGCAAACAGAGGGATCTCAGCAGCTCCAGCTCCAGCACTCAGACTCTTCAGAGAAGCAGCAGCCAAAAAGGTTACATGTCTCCAACATTCCCTTCCGCTTCCGGGACCCAGATCTGAGGCAAATGTTCGGGGTGAGTAGCTCCAGGAAACTTACTTCTACTGGCACAGCAGCAACACGCAACACTGACCCTGATTATATAATTTGGCATTTTGAAAATAAATTTGCTAAATGGAAACACAGTAATTATAAAAACTCAAACTTTTTCACCCAAACTTTTGGCGCTGGGGTTTTGGCCATTTTGAAATTGCAATGGAAAAACTTTCTTTCACATCATATAAGTTATTTTTAATTTAATCTTTTATTCAACCACATGGTTATTAGCAGCTCAGTAGAAGATCCAGCAGCAAACTTTACCAAAAATAACAAACAGCAGCACTGTAAAAATCTTAAAACAGTAAAAACAGTAGAGAAATGAAATTTTTATCTGAAGCGTGTGAACGTTTCAGACATTTTAAAATAACTTTCAAAGAGCTGAGCTTCTGCAGCATCATGCAAAGATTATTCTCCATATTTTGATTCATTTTGGGATCATTGAGCTTCATCTGTTGCTCATAAGACATTAAAGTCACATGATCACCAAAGCAGGAAGTAGTTGAAGGACGACACGGTTTATTTTTCAATGGCTTATCATGTCAACAAACCCATCCATGTGTGATTTTAACAGGTTTTTTTGCGTATATTTGAAATGGAAACGCAGTGAGTGACTCCACTGGTTCAGCTGTTACAGGATGTTCCAGTTTGCTACGTCTCCACTAACAGGAAATGATCGCATCGTCTAAAATACAGCAGCACAAACAGTAACTGGAGGCTTTGCTGCAGCTGTCATCTCGTTAATGCATTGATTACTGTGTTGTCTGGGGAGAAAAGAGTGGCTTGGAAGATTTCGCAGGTGATAAACAGCTCAATCAGTCACAATCAGCTCTTGAACTCTGTGGGTCAGACACCAGGGAGGCGGCGGCTGAGCGATGAAACCTGCCGCCGATCCCCAACCCGCCCGCCGTTTGTGGCTCGAGTTCGATCGCGTTCGAACATCCGGATCTGAAGGATCTTCATCGTCTCCTGGCCAATTAACGCGCTGGCTCAACGGCTCACCTTTGTGTCTCGCACGAGCTCCGACACAAAGCCGACCGGATTCAATAACAATAATGGATCTGAAAGGAGACGATGGCCAAAAATGTACTTCAAATGTTAGGCGCTAATTGGACCATTAGCAGCCAGAGGCGTTAATTTTAGCCGTTATGAAGACAACATTGAGCTGATGATATTAATTACCAGAGAGTCCTAGCTGTGGCTTTATAAATTGCACACAACATGGCTGCTTTCTCTCTCTGATTGTTGGCTTTATTGTTCCCAGCTCTGGTGCAGGTCGTGTGGAATCCAAATCACCGGCGTAATTAGCTCGGAGGCTTTGTGTGCCTGGCCGCTGCATGCAGATATATGATGGAAAATTGATTGCAGCCCACCCAGCCTCCCTCAATCACATGTTGCCCTCTCCTTCCCGTTGCTGCGCCGGTTGGCGAGGTGGAGGATTGTGGGATTGATTGTCTTGGTTGGAGCTTGGCGTAGCGATAGCGGGTCCGCTCCACCCTCTGACACGGCCTCCACAATGGGGCCTTTGTGTGATCAGTGTGTGCAAAGCCTCATTCCTCCAGCTCTAATGGCTTCTGGAGCGCCACCGGCTCAATACGCCATTACCGCTACGCATGAGTGAAGCCCACAGACGGGAAGACGGAGGAGGCGCCGCGCGGGCTCCAAGGAACCCGGAACGAGACGGGAGGGCCCGGATGCCCCCCGCGCTGCCGGGTTGAGGGACCTGTGAGCCTTTAACGAGGCGCTGAATGAAGGTCTCATTAGGGCATCCACAGCGGACGCTAATCAGTAATTAGAAACTGTGATCTCTGAGAGCTGGTAAGTGCGCGGGAAATGAAAACACTCCAGCGAGCGCAGCGTGGAGCCCACGCTGCGCCGCTCGAGGGTGCCCTCATTTGTGAGCGTCGCTTCTTCAGCAGCGCTTCTCTGGGTGGATGTGAGGCTCTCGCAGCATTCCCCAGAGCAATCAGACCCCCGCCCCCGTCCCGTCCCACTGTCACGCCGACTGCTGAGCTTCAACACGCTCCCAACACGCAGGCGCCTCATTACGGCGCCCTGAGGAGCTCCGAGACTGGCGGCCTAATCAAAGGTGGATCCTGTTTGGCTTGAAAAGGCTGCAGGTCCATTTCTGAGGGGAAATATTTCTGTTTACAACCTCGGCTCTTAACTGAGAAAAACGGAGACATGCAAACGCTTTTCCAAGGCATATCGAATGTATCGTATCGATCATCATTTATCGTGATTTTGATGCAGTTATTTATTTGGATCAGCAAACATTTAATGAAAAAACATTTATTTCAAAAACAGTTACACTTAATATAAGTAGGCCAGTCTCAATAAGCAATAAATCAATTAATTGCATAATAAATTAAAACAAACTCAATCATTTCCATTTGCATGTTTTATTGTTTTTGTCTTTCTACCAAAAACTGGATGATAAAAGTCTTCGGTCTGCAGTTTCAGTCAGACTTTTATCAGTTCCAATAACCTTCAAATAGAGTTGAAAGGTTATTGATCTTTGAGATGCTGTTGAATTTTGTGCCACTCCGTTGAAAATGATCTGAAGACAACAATATTATCATTTATCACAATAACTTCTGGGATAATTTACTGTTATTATGACAGACCTAAATATAACAGCATATTGATTCATGACTGTAATATTACAATATTTTATACAGTAAAATAATTAATTTTATTTAAATGCTCTTGCATTTATTTTAAAAACAAACAATCTCCCAAAGCATCAATATATACCAATAAACTGATGAGATCCAGTTGCTGTGTGCAGGTCAGTCTTTATGTGACCGGATCCGAAAGAAACAGATCAGAAATGGAAATGTTTGTGTTTGTGGGGCTTTAAACGCTGTGACACAAAGTCTCAGCATGAACTCATCTGAAAAAGAAGCAATAAATAGAAATAATAAATAATTCTTGAACTTTGCAGTTTTCACAACATTCCCAGATCATTAAAGTTGAAGTTTGTATTTCTCACAGCTACCGGTAGAATAAAGTCCTTGAAAGTTTTGTAGTAAAGTGGAAACAAATTTTCTGTCTAAAAACCTAAAATTGGAAAGTGATGATTTTGCCTTTTTTTGAAGTCATTTCAGTCATTTCTGGGATCTGCAGCCTTCTGCTCTAAATGGTGACGCTTTGCAACTAAAGTCATCTAATCAGGTTGAGGCAACATGTTGGACGTATTGGAGGATTGAACTGGACCGTTGGCCCAAGTTGTTTGTGTTTGTGGAGAAGCTCACCTGGTTGGCGCTCTTAGCTAATGATGTTTACCAAAGTTTAATTGTTGGCTTTGAAATTGACCCATAACTTCTGTTGATCTGATCAAATCACCAACTTGACCTAAATTTTTACCTCCGTCTGAAACGACAATTCCCCGACCCCAAATGCAAAACGTACAAAAGTTTAGATGCTAACAGTTTTCATATATACGAGGCTTCCTGATGCTTTATTTATTCCATGTTTATTAATGATTAATGACACACACCTTCTCCATAATGCAACATTAGATTGTATTTTTACTATGCATAGTTATGAAGTAAATGAATATTAATCATCTTGTAAAGTATTCAGTGCAAGTCTGTACAAAGTGATGAGTTTGGTTTGGATCCTCTGACTGTTTTTACAGTGAAATCAACTAAATAAATGTGATATCAGGCGACTGATTGTCCTTGGACAGTTGGAAATCAGCCACAAAGTGCTGAGCTTGAAACATCGTGTGGGTTTCAACAGAAACGAGCTTCCAGTCACAAAACCAAATGACGTCGTTTTTCCAACTCAAACATTTAAGGCAAACGTGCATTTTCATACATAAATGCAAAACGTTTCAGGGTTTTTGAGCTGGTTTGCTGCTTTTCATGTGAGCAAGAGGCGATATGCGACCAGCCGCTCAGTTTCACAAACCAGAGACGTTTCAAATGAAGGTTCGTCAAATCCACATTGAGTTCATGTAATAAATATTTATTATTCCTAACAGCTCAATGAGTTACTGATCTCTGTAATAAAAAAGGTAAATGTAGTAAAATTGGGTAATTTTTGTTGTTAAATTTGTCTTTTGCTCTCAGATCAGTCAAGTGTGTAAGACAGACTTTCCAAATCATAAGATGTTGTAACATTGCTGTCAGAAGAAATTATCACCACTAATGGATGAAGATGATAACAACTTATCATGAAAATGCTTGAAACGTTTTTGCATTTCACTGTAGGAAACGTGTCGGTATGTTTATTCTGTCTTTCCGCTGCAGTCAGGTGATCATCCTGCAGGATTCGTACATTTTGAAATTCAAAAACTTTTCAGCATTTTAACAGTGAAGTTTTAAACTTTGTCAGAGTTAAAAACAAACTAAAGAAGACAGTTTCAATTCATTATATTTTATTACAGTTATTAAAAATATCATGATGGTTTTCTGCTTTTTACAGTACAGACTAAAATATAACAAACATTAATGTTCTGAGAAAACAAAACAAAAAAACCCACAAAAACACGAGTTTAACAAAAAAAAAACTCAAATTTCGGCCTTTCTTTCAAATATACACAGATCAATAAGTTATCGAGGAATAATAATCATTACACTGAAACGATCCAAACAAATCGTCAAATTAAAACCAGGAAGTTACAAAGGAAAAGTTCTCAAGTTTTCTGGGATTTAGTAAATAGAAATAATTTAACTGATTCTGACTCGCCTGAAACAAGAAGCAAATCGTCTGATTGTCTTTTCATTGCTTGAAAATATCTGGTTTCAATGGAGATGAATCGATTTGCACTTTATTACAAAACTGCACTTTGACTATTAAGCACTTTATCAAGTGAAATTCAAGCATTTTGAAGGATTGAAGCAGCTGTATGAAGCGCGTCCGCGACGCCTGGCAGTGCAGATGAAAAGCTGTGTGAAGCTGCTGTGAAATGCGTGAGCGTTTAGATGTTGGGTGATAAATGGTGTCAAATGTGAGGAAGCGCCGGTGTGGTCGCTGAACTTAAAGCTGCTCTGTGGATGGATGGAGCTGCAGTCCCACACTGGAGATGACATCAGTCTCTCCCTCTGGAGACTCCTCCCACTGAAGCTATTGTTTATCGCTGCTGCTGATGCAGCTGTTTGTCCCTGTGTGTGTGTGTGTGTATGGGTGTGTGTGTGTGTGTGTGTGTGTGTTGTGTGTGTGTGGTGTGTGTGTGTGTGTGTGTGTGTGTGTGTGTGTGTGTGTGTGTGTGTGTGTGAGATCAGTGGTGAGCAGCGAACAGTCCCCAGCACCATGTGGAAATCCACAAAGACGACTTCCTCTGAAACTAATTAATCGACGCCACAAGCCCATTACACTCGGTTAAAACAATTAGCATCTGCACGTAGCGTGCGGGAAGCATTGTCTTCTCGGGCGAGAAAGGGGGCGACACGCTGGGATATAAATGCCTGCACTCCCTGTTGGAATCAGTGGAGCCGAGCGCCGCAGCAGACAGATGTGCGGACAGGAGAGGAGATGCAGTGCGTCGCCCTTAAAAGGAGCAGGAAGCAGAAGTTTTTCTGCTCCTCAAGCCCACTCCACTGTCTGCAGCCGGATAATAGCCAGCTCCTCCTAACCCCTATTAGCGGCTCAGTCAAACGATCCATCTATTCCCATTGAGCGCCGACCACATGGAAGGCCCATTTCTTCCCTGTTGTGCTGAAATGAAGGCGACGCGGACCGCTTGACAGGGTAATTACTTTTAATGAAATAATACGGCCATTGTAGACAGCAATTAAAAGTCGCACTCGCTCCACTCATTAGAGGAACTTACAGTTTACTTTCATTCCTCTGTTTTCTAACGATCCGAAGGCAGGCCTGTTAAATGGAAAGGCTGGAGGAAGGTACCCCCGGGGACGGGCCCTGAGGTTCTGCTGGACGCACAAACACAACGGACCCGGAGGCAGCAGGACCTTTTTCCAGGGTGATGGCATCAAGACGGCGTCAGAAATAAACAAACTCTGATCAGAAATGCTGCGAAATGATCAGAGATCGAGTTTCTCTACAAACATCTCGTGTCATTGATACGAATCCAGACGCATTAAAGCGATGAGTTCTCTTTCTAACCATGCCAACAACCTTCAACAACTGTTTGCTCAGCTAACAAATGCAAATTGACCACCATTTCCCCACAAAAGTAACATTTCCATATCGCCTTAATGGTTTTCTCTCTCCAGCCTTCCTCCTCATGAATTCACAGCCAGCCAAGCTTTCTAACTCCATCTCTGCTCTTCTGTCTTTCTTTTCTCTCCGCAGCAATTTGGAAAGATTTTAGATGTGGAGATTATCTTTAATGAGCGAGGATCCAAGGTAAGTGAACTAGAACGCCAGCTGCTTCATTACCATGTACTTCTTCTGTTTCCTAATGATGGCATTAGTGTGGTGTGTACATTGGCGGAGAGTAGCCGTCTCTAAGCCCGGTCCTGGAGAGCCGGATTCAGCCGGCCCCTCGCTCTCCGGCTCCCTCCCTCCCTCTTGTTTTGTTGTCTGTTGCGGCTCTCACACAAGTTGTGAATCATTAGTTCTGTCAATCAATTTATTATTGAGCTGTTTCACATTTTGCCTAAACCACCAGCAAGCTGCAGATCCTCCAGCAGAGGGGAGGGAACCTGCTCCAAACCCGACCATTCATTCAGACGCCTTCGTGTTATTCAGACTCAGATATTCACTTTGTGAGGAAACGTCAAAAACATTCAGCTGATGAGAAGCAACATGAGAAAAAGATGAGATTTTAGAAGAAGGTTTGAGCAAAAACCTGAAACCTTCATGACTTGGTCATAATGTTTCGCTTAGTTTGGGAGCATAAAATGTTTCAGAAATGAAACCAGAACCAGGCTGGGGGTGTTCAAAGTGGGGTTTGAGGGCCATTTGTGGCCCATTGTCTAAAACTGGAGAATAAATTTAAAAAGTGTTTCAAGTGAAATAATCAGTAGTACTTTTTAATCTGCATTATGGAATTATTTACTAAACAACCTCAGTTATTTTGCTCAAAACTTTTCACACAACAAACTAAATCAAAAATATGTGTTTTTGCTGGGTATTTTTTAAAGTGCACCGTAGTGAACTAAGATCTGCTTTTAATTGCTGTATTAACATTTGTCTAAATATAACAAGTGTTTTCAAATGACTATTGGTCCAGATCATGTTTTTATTGCTGTAAATAGAGAAGATATTTCTTCAATTGTCATCAATAGAACGTAGGTCCCAAACAAACCAAAAACCAAACATTTGGTTCACATTCAGCTGCTGTTTGAACGAAGCTTTCAGTTCATAATAATAATATCTACTGTTTACTGTATGATCACCATGACGTCTCATATGTCATTCGCCTCATTTTTGCTTCAAATACATTCATTTATTTCAGTAACTGTAGGTGGTAAATTAGTCAGATGTTGTACTGAAGTAAAAGTAGCGTTACTTAAAATAATAAGAACCAGATAACTTCAAAATAAGAGTCTGCCACTGTGCATCTGAATAATCTAAAAGCAAAAGTCTAAAGAGTTTTGAGGAGATTCAAAATGTCTGCACTTTAAGAGCCTGAAGTTAGCTCAGAATAATTAGCATGGCCACCTTTAACTTGACGATAACCGGTTCTCCTGAACCCTGTAGAGAATCTATAAACGGTCATCATAGCGACCTGGACTGCCTGATCACCTGAGGCTGATCTCCTCCGTGCTACACCGCATTGATGCAGTAATTTATGCAGAAGGAGACCAAGAACTGAAACTGTTCCGCAGGAACAGATTTCTGGATTAAAATTATTATTTTTAAATCAATTTAATATTCTAATTTTCTGTTAGCTACAATCATCCACAAATAAATTCTTAAATCTACATAGTGACCCAAATTAACTTTTTAATAATATTTTAGTTTATTTAGGTGCATCTGAATAAATGGGGCATCCAACTTCCAGCAATCGTTACATAACCAAATCAATATAATTGATCAATATTGAAGTAGGCTGTTTCCTCACAAATAGGACGTCATGTGTCCATATTGAATAAATTAATTTAAAGGAGCCACACGAAGGATGAAGTTGGCCTTATTTTGCATTTCTTCTGGTCATAAATAAAGAAATCCAATAATAAGAGCAAAACTAACAATGTGCGACTACCTTTCTCAGCACTTTCTGACTTCCCTCTTTATGCGGCACTCGGCCTCGCGCTCGCTGGTTCCCACCCCGGTTGTTAGTCTTCATAAAAAGGTCACAAATATGCAGATTTATTTAAATAAGAAGCAGCTCAGCATTTTCCCCAAACATGGAGCTGCTGTAGTTTTAAGTAAACAAAGCTCCAACTGGGAGGCGAAGTGTCGGGCAATACGTCCATCACGCTCTTTAAAACTCATCCATAATTAGCACCCGGTGACCGAACTTAACCCCGACACGGATCGCATCAATCCCAAACACCGTCTGAGCATGGAGAGGCAGGAAAAATGGCCGCCGCAGCGAGGCGTTGCTGCGGTATCAGTCAGGACAGGTGAAGCCTGCCTGGCGGCGGCGGCGGCGTGAGCGGCTCATCCAGCTGTTCCTTTAATAGAGTGTAGAAGCTCCACGACTCTCCATTCATAACGCCGACAGCTGAGGCATGAATCCTATCGATTCCCATTGATAGCTGGGAGCTACTGGGAGCTACTGGGAGTTACTGGGAGCTACTGGGAGCGACTGGCCTTGCGTTGGGAGAGTCCAGGAAGCAGCCGCCGGCCCAACGCCGCCGAGCTCAGCCTCTTCTGCCAGACAAGATGGAGCACCGGATAAACCTGCCTCCTCCGCCGTAACAAGCATTTATTGTTTGTGCCCCACAAAGCCATTACCCATGATGCCTCTCTGCCTCGCGCGCTCTCTGTGCTATATAATGAACCTATCAGGCCATTAATAAATAATCTATTTCCTATGAAGCTTTGGCAATTTGCATTCAATATGTTTGTCTCCTTTGAAAAATGGAGCCTCCACTCTCTCCTCTTGTAAGCTAATTATTTGGCGTGATAAAAAAACGGAGACGGGTGAGTGTCCAAAGGATTAATTTTGCCCTCAATTTTTTTTTTCTGAAGTTATTTCTTTATCTGCGTTCCCCCCGCGGACAGGTCCCGTGTTATTTATGCCAGGAGGAGCAGCCGGGGATCCTGGATGTGCCCGCCGGATCGCGGCGCTCGCCGTCTCTCACACGTATTACATCCTCCAGCAATTATCAGGCAGCAGCGGCCGTGCTCCCTCACAGTCAGCGCCATGCGTATATATAGAAACTAAAGGGATGGGACTTGTTTGGCCAGAATATCTTAATGGCTCAGGTCCAGGATCCCAGTCCACATAACTCAGCAAAGTGACAAACCTCCCCAGGGGAGGGAGGCGGGGAGGACAGGGCGGCGGGGAGGTTGGGTTTATTTTAGTCAATACCGTTTCTTTGGTCTTTATTCCTACTTTCTGTTAAGACGTTGAACCTTTAAGATCAGGTTTTACACTGCAAAAAACACAACATCTTACCAAGAATGTTGGTCTAATTTCTGGTGCAAATACCTTAATAAACACTAACTTGCAAATAACTTTTCAGTAAGATATAGGAATTTGGTTTGAGCCAATAATTTTCTAAAATCAATAAAAGAAGTTCCATTTTCCTCATAATCTGCCAGTTGAACTCGTACTTTTTAACCAAATTAAGGAATTGTTGACTATCCTGCTGGAAAGTTACTTATAAGTAAATTTTGTCTCATTTTAAAAGATATTTGCCCAGGAAAGTAAACCAACTTGGTGAAATTGTGTTTTTGCAGTGATGCAAAAGGAGCGAGTTGTGTCGATAATTAAAGCGCCATCATGGCAGCCAGCCGTGTTTTGCATTCGCTGCCTCCTGACTTTCGCCCGCGCCTCGGCAGCTGTGGCGTTTAATTGGGTAAAGCGGGCAGGTCTGCTGGTGTTGCCGTGTGAGGTCGTGTCGCCGTTCTCGGATCTCTCTGTTTGCTGTTTCCTGACGCCTCACTAACTGCCTCTAATTAATCTGGCTGCTTACAACTCGACTCTGCTGCTGCTGCTCACCTTCTCCTGTCTTCTTACCTCTCTCCCTTCTCTTCTCCCTTTGTGTGTCCTTTCTTCCTCCACCTGTGGCGACCGCGCTGCTCTCAGGGCTTTGGGTTTGTAACTTTTGAAACAAGCACAGACGCCGATCGTGCGCGAGAGAAACTAAACGGTACAATCGTAGAGGGACGCAAAATCGAGGTGCTTCCACTTTTCCCACATTTCTCCTTTCCTGCCTGCTGTGTGCTCAGTTTACCAACTAATCCAAGCATTAGCATGTGGCTGCGGTGTGAGTGTGTGGATGTGGTTGCATGCATGCATAATGGTGCGTGTAATTTGTTCTCAGTAGAACGTGGGATCCATACATGTCCAGCTGGACGAGCCGTTGTCCATCATCACCTGACAGCAGAATGAATGCATGCCATCATCAGATCTCAGCCTGCATTTCCTGCGTTTCATGTTGCCTGCTTTAATTCTGCTTTTGTTTACCAAGTCGCTCCTGTCAGCTTGACGGGGGAAACTCAGAGCGCAGGCTGGAGTTTCTTTGGCATATATTTGGGTTTGCAACCAATTAGTGAAACTGGAAGATGCTCGTTTTTGCTCAGACTTGTAGGCTAATGATGCATGCTCTCATCTTTTTTTCTTTGGAGCAGCAGAAATATTTCTGATGGAAAGAACAATTTGCTGTATTTTCTTCTTCTGTTGCTTTTTTGTGCCACTAAAATGTTTCAGATTATCAAACTAATTTTAAGTTCAAACTAAAATAACTCTAAAAATGCACTTTAAATGATTATTTCTTTAAATGAATCTGTTGAAGCCAATGTGGCTCTGAGTGGAAACGTAACCGCTCACATGATCAATAAATAGAGATTCACGTTTTTAGGAAAGTCAGACCTGATTACTGGTTTATGAAGTGATAAATAAGACTGAAACAATTAATTAACAATGGAAATAATTATCCGCAATTAATTGTTAACTGGAATAAACTGAATTTTAAAAAATGCACTTTCTGAAAGATCAACACAATCAAGCAGTAATTAAACCAAAACTGCTAAAAAATACATGTTGCATTCAAACACCCAGAATTCCTCAGGAGGCAGTTTTACCTTCACCTGATTCGATTTCTGTAAATGGATCAATTAAATCTCCCATGAAACAATCAGCTGATCAGAAACTCTATCAGCAAAGGAAAATGAAACTCGGCGTCTGTCGTAATCAATGGAACCATGAATCCTGCTCTTCTTTGGAGTGGCCTAATCAAAGTCCAGACTTTAAAATCCTCCGTTGTGACTGAACTAAAACAATTCTCTAAAGCGAAAAACTGTTTTCTGTTAAATGTGTCTGATAATCTGAAACAGAATTGATTGAAAAAGCACAAAGAGAAGAAGATTTAGTTTTATTTTGAGAATGTTTTGCATTCCTGTGGGTTTGCTGCTTGCTTGTGGCCCTGCTGGATGTGCCGGTCGTGTTGTTGGCGTTTAACCCCACAACGTTTCTCCTGCTCTGCCAGGTGAACAATGCAACCGCACGAGTGATGACAAACAAAAAGGTGGCCAACCCTTACACAAACGGTGAGTTAACATTTATCTGAACTCATTATGTTAAATAATTAGTTTAGATAACTATCTTTAATTTTTTTAAAGTTCTGGTTCCACTACAAGAATATTTCACTCATAACTTCAGAAAAATGTTAAATAATCTGTAACAATCTCTTTTTTATCAATACTAATGAATTACTGACTTGCTGAAAAGTTATTTATGTTAGTTTTGTCTTATTTCCAGTTTACTAAGATATTTAAATCAAAATATGTGGTAAGATTGAGCGTTTTTGCAGTGTGTGACGAGAGATGACTTACATCTCAAATCTGTAAGAAGCAGGAGAAAAATGTTTCAGATGTTTGTGTTTGTAGGCAAAGTTTCCAAAAACTGAACGCAAGTAACAGCAGCAGAACTTCAATATATTTCCACTCAAGTCAGAGTAAAAATCATTCATTCAAGAAATTACTTAAGTAAAAGTAAAACAGTATTTGGTAAAAAGTTTTCGTAAGTTTTCTGAAATAACTGGACAAATTATCAGTTATTTCATATTTTAAAATTACATCATCAGACGGATACAAATATAAAGTTGGTATTTTGAGGTAGAAAATTACGATAAAATATCAAAATCTGGCAAAATAAAATGTTTAAAGTCAGTTTCTTTCCATTAAAAGTATAAAACTTCGACAGAAGCTGCAGCTGTTTCTCTGTCTGGCGAATTTTTGCTTGAAATATGTTTTCCATTCAGCAGGTAGAAAACCCAGAAATTTTACTCAAGTAGAGATGCTTCAAAATAAAATTACTCAAGTAAAAATAAAAGGTACATTTTCTTAAAAAAAAAAAAAAGTTCTTCAAGTAAATGTAATGTAACATGTCACAACACGGTCAGTTAAAAGAAGAAGAAATGAGTGTTTTTTATTGTGATTTCTAAGGTGTGTGGTGTGTGTGTTTGTGTGTGTGTCTGTGTGTGGTTGTGTGTGTGTCTCTGTGTGTGTCTGTGTGTGTGTGTGTGTGTGGTTGTGTGTGTGTCTGTGTGTGTGTCTGTGTGTGTGGTTGTGTGTGTCTGTGTGTGTGTGTGTGTGTTGTGTGTGTGTGTGTGTGTGGTGTGTGTGTGTCTGTGTGTGTCTGTGTGTGTCTCTGTGTGTGTGTGTCTGTGTCTGTGTGTGGTTGTGTGTGTGTCTCTGTGTGTGTCTGTGTGTGGTGTGTGTGTGTGTCTGTGTGTGTGGTTGTGTGTGTGGTTGTGTGTGTGTTGTGTGTGTGTCTGTGTGTGTGTCTGTGTGTGGTTGTGTGTGTGTGTCTGTGTGTGTGGTTGTGTGTGTGTCTGTGTGTGTGGTTGTGTGTGTGTCTGTGTGTGTGGTTGTGTGTGTGGTTGTGTGTGGTTGTGTGTGTGTGTGTGTGTGTCTGTGTGTGTGTCTGTGTGTGTGGTTGTGTGTGTGGTTGTGTGTGTGTCTGTGTGTGTGTCTGTGTGTGTGTCTCTGTGTGTGTCTGTGTGTGTGTCTGTGTGTGTGGTTGTGTGTGTGGTTGTGTGTGTGTCTGTGTGTGTGTCTGTGTGTGTGTCTGTGTGTGTGTCTGTGTGTGTGTCTCTGTGTGTGTCTGTGTGTGTGTCTGTGTGTGTGTCTCTGTGTGTGTCTGTGTGTGTGCAGGCTGGAAGCTGAACCCGGTCGTCGGAGCCGTGTACGGTCCTGAACTGTATGCCGGTAAGACTGTTTGCTTATTTCCCCCAGTGCCTTTCCGCCGCTATCGGCCGCAGCCAATCCCGATCTGACCCCCCGAATTCCTTCAATCGGGTTCATCCTGAAGCGACTGAACATGAAATTCCCCGTGAATCAAAGTGAATCTGAGCGCGGCGCCGATAAGCGGTGGATGATCCGAGCCGCTCCGAGTGGCTGAGGGAGCCTGAGCCATTGTTTGCGCAGTGTGCAACTGTAAAGCTGCGGGAAAAGAGGAGGAAAAAAATGATTTCAAGAGCAAGCGCCCCTGCAACTGTTATCAGATTGTGGAGGCTGCTGCTGTGGATGGATTTGCCAAGTGCGCCAGATTGACTTTTACAGAGCTAACCGAATAAGGGAGATTGAGTGAGAGATATTGTTGGCACCCACCCTGTCGAAGGCCGCTATTCCTTCTGGTCTCAGTAATGGAGGAGCGAGATGAGCTCAGTGGGGTTTTCCCTATCTCTCCCTGCCTCGACATGCCAGCTTTATTGCTGTATGTTATATGAACCCTTTGCATTTTAATGAGGGGGAAATGGTACTATTTCATTTGGAAGAAGTGCTGAGCACATCGCGCCACTTTAACGGCTTTCCTTTCTGCTCATTAGACTAAAATCTGTTCATTCCCCGGACAGCTTTACGGCGAACCTCTAAATAACTGTCCATGACAGAAAGCAGTCATCTATCATTTTTATTTCAGCCCCAACCCCTCACCCTGCCTCCCACTCACCTCCCCCCCACACAGCATCTCTTTCATTTCGACATCTTCCTCTGATAATTATATCCGGCCTCACGCTCATTCGTTTGGACGCGATCGGGAAGAATTTTCCCCAAACCGAAATGTGAGACACGCGAACGTTCAGGTTCCCGGCCTACATGCAGCTCCAAACCTGCCCCGCTTTCAGACTCCCAGACCAAAGCGCCGCAGCATACAGAAATAGATAACCTATGTAGAACACAGACACTAATACATGTCTCCTCTTCCATGCACACTTCCTCTATTTTCCTCTCTCACACACACACACACACACACACACACACTTCCCAAATCATCTCATAAATCAGAGGGAGTGTGGTCCACCACTCCAGGCAGGGGAAGCAGGAGGGGCTGTGTGATTTATTGGCTGCTAATTTTTCAAGTCGTCTTGACATGGCGCTGGAGTTTGCCAAGCCTAAACGACAACATATGCTTGCCAGCTGGGAAGATGGGAAACATAAATAAGAGATACATTTTTGAAACAAAATCTGTGGAAAACTGATTCCTTTTCGTAAAAAAAAACAAAACAAAAACCAGACTTGAGATCTTATGGTGTTTCCTCTTTCAGGAAAAACAACAAAAAAACGAATCATGTTGCAGAATTTTCCCAAAATCGTCTCGGTTATAGTTAATATAGTTTCGGTGGGAGTAAAATGGGATATAAAGGCGATTAATCACTGTTTATCAGTCCTCATTTCTGTGCAGGAGATCAGTGAAATTGGGAGCCATAAATCCTGGCTCGGTGACAGCACACTTCGTCTCCATTCGTCCTGGCGCTACAGGTTTATTGTCCTCAAAACCCATTCAGGAGAATGACGGATGAGAGCCTCACGCCGGCTCTCCGCTCTTAACCTCTTCCAGGGTAGATTGGCTCCTCCTCCAGGCGGGGGAGGGGGCGGCGGGGTCTGCGGCATCGGCCCCTGGCTCCACTGCCTCCTCCAACTGAGGGCTCCCAATTAAACGAAGAGAGCTGGCAATAAAAGTTAGCGCTGGCACAAATGATGGTGTGCAGTAGCTGGTAGGCAAACAATAACTGTGCTTACCTTTCTCCTGTTTTAATGTGCACTAATGTGATTTTAAACTCCATAATTTATGCAGAATGGACTCAAACGGCCATGCAGGAACACATGGGTGTGGTGCTGGAAGTGGTGCTGGAAGTGGCAGCAGTGTGAGCGGCTTCTTTGTTAATGGAAATGATTAATTAGACGAGGGTTTCATATTAGTTTTGATTTTATGGTTCATCAAAACAAACCAGATGCAGGTGTTGGAGTTGCGTTGAAACGGAAAAGGAACGATTAAAATGGCTAAGAGAAATCCTGGGAGGCGGATGTGCGTGTTGCACTGTTTAGCTCGTTGCCATGTAATTGGCAAACTTTTCTTCATTACTGGCGCTGGAGGCTTTGGGCGCCGCAGACAGCTGTCACTTAGAGGCGCCGTCGTATGGCCGCCCCCTCAGGCTACCACTCACACGCTCTTCTCTGCAGCTAATTCCAACAGAGACAGCAGATGAGTGGCTTTTCACTCACCAATTCATATCTTCACTTACTAAGGTGGAGTTTTCTTGAGGACTGGTGGAAATCCAGCAGCTGTGTAAATGACAGAAAGGAAAGGCTAATTGCCGTCTTAATATATGTAGACAGATCCTCTCATTGTTGGAGTGTACTTTAGGGGGATAATTAAGCTCCAGACTCTTGATTAGATTAAGCTGTTTTTGGTCCCCGGTGCGTGGATTAAACGCTGGTGTATCTGAGCAGGAAGTATTAGAGAGCTCAACCTTGTGGAAAATCAGATCTTTCTTTATGGGAGCCGGTTATGACCCCATCATTGGCACGGAGCGGGATTACCCCGGGTCCGACTGGCTCTGCAGGTATTGAGCTCCTCTCAGGTTGACACGGATGACATATGAGGTGCAGCGTGACCCCGCCGCCCTCCGGCACATAACTCATATTTTCCCCGGCGCCCCTCCTGGAAAAGGTGTTTGACTTTGGTGGCTGGAGCCGGCGTGTGCTCCGCTCGCCGCGCCTGTTGTTGCTTTTCACGCGCCTACCAAGGTGTGACAGTGTCTTTGATTTATGGGTTATTATTGAAGCAGTGTAGCCTATCGCCAACTCATTATGAGTTTACATTCACATACATCACTGCATGCAGATTGCATACAAATTTTCAAAAAAGAAAGGAAGACGCATAATTTATTTTTCTTTGGAGGAAACACCTTAGAACGAGGGTCTCTGTGCCCTTTAGCGGCTGCATTTTCTGACGTCCACTGCTCCCAAAAAAAGACTAATTTAAATGTCAAGGTCAGCACTATAAATCACTTTTGGGGGAAAAGGGGCAGCGGTTGGTGCAGCAGCAGTAAACAAAGTGGCCTGCGTGTGAGTGGGTGGGTGCAACGCTGGGCGTCACCTGGCCAAATGAGATGCAAACTTTGAATGTGTGTCTGGACCCACTAATGGAGCATGATGTTAATGGTGGAAGACATAAAACCTGGCTCTGCATGTTTTTAAAAGCACCACTAATCTGTCTCCTTGTCAGCTTTATTGAAGCAGCGGGGCCGGACTGCAGCGTTGTTCATTACGGCGCTCAGTGGTTGTAACCAGCTGCGGGGTTAACGCCACAAACACTGAGCGCGCCAACGCTTCTCTCTGATTGGATTCATGCTATTAACAGGCCAACAAGTTGGTTTCCTCCGATCGGAGGCGATGAATTCACTCACAACTCGTCATGGAAGTGAGGAAAACAGGGTTTCTGCAGGCGTCAACAACTCCAATTTAAGTTTTTAAAAAATCTTTTGGCTAATTTGAGATGAACAAATACGTCCAGATTGACTGTTAGCTAACTTGACTGTGAGCTAGTACCGCCATCAATGCGCCCTCTAGTGGATCCTTAATATAATAATAATCATAATATAATCACATCTTTTATGAGATTAAGTGAAGGAGTTATCGGACTGTATCCCTACTTTATCACCCGATCATTTCTCACGTTTGATTGTTGTAGATCAGTCCAGGGAAATGCAGTTAAATTGTTTTTGTCTTTACAAAAAGAAAAAAGCAACAAAACCACCGACTGGTTATGGCTGCACAATCTGTACCGGAAGCACAGGAGCCAAAGTTGATTCTTCCAATCTGGATTAAATTTAAGAACTGTATGACAGAAAAATCCAGATTTTATGCCGTAGCGATATACTATTTTTGCACAGAATGAATCAAACATCGTATGGATTAGCAACAGAAATGAGCCAATGGCGAAGACAAACATCATCCAGCGACCAATTATACATGTAGACCAGCTAGTTATGGAGGTACAACTTTACTGAATATAGTGTAATAAAAAGTTACAATCAGAGAAAACAAAAAGTAAGCAAAAGAACAGTAAAGCATAATTACACGTTCCAAGGAGCTTATTTTTTACACCTCCCCGCCTTACCTCAGTTTTATGTTAGCTAGTTATAACTCTCTTATATTCATATAAATGACTGGAACAACCCATTCATATTTGCATTGTGAGGAAGAATCAGTCATTTTTAAGGCCTGAATCCCCAGATCTGACTGCAAGTGTCTGCATGCGACTCAAACGTTTGGCTGGCAAAAAGTCCTTCAAGAAAAATAAACTACATGTAACATATGGGAGTAAATAGTCTTTAATTAGTGTATTTAAGGATAACTTACTTTTTAAGGCATTTTCAGGCCTTGATTTTAGATGCAGCTTGAAAAAGTTGAGGCGAGGTGACGACGGGGCGTTTTCAGAGGGTGAAGGATAATGGTGCTGACTGCTTTTTGATGGACTCGGTGCAGGAGGGGTGTGTGAGGGAATTACAATTGCAGGAAGAGTGGAGCCCAAGTTAATCATGTCTGTAGATCAGTGTGTTTGTATGCACCTCTGCAGGCTGTAATCAGACAGCCTCCGGACTGATTGAAGGTTAAACGGAGACCTGAAGTCCCCATTAGCCGTCCTCTAATCTTTCCTTGGCCATTTTCTCACATCTGCCTTCACTTTTCACCCCGAGAGATCAGCTGATTGTCGGATCATCCAGTCAGGTTGTCCTGGAATCGCTCCTCTTCAATTTAAACCCATCGGGTCTAAACTGTGCGAAAGCCATGGAGCGAAACTAGTGGTGCGGCATCCATTAGCCGCCCGGACGCCAAGGCTGGCGAAGAACGCGCACGGCAAATGTGGATCCTTGCTGAGTGCGACACAAAGCAGCAGCGAGCTGGGGAAGGGGAGATGCTCGATGAGGCGCACCTAGAAAAGATTAAATCTATTGTTTCCTTGTCTTCCACATAATGCATTCTGTCATAGAGAGAGCAGAGCCACACGTCTCTCTCTAATGTATTCTGTCATAAGGTAAGCAATGCCAAGTGGAGGCTTTTCCCTGAAAGTCGTTTTCTCTCCGCAGTAACAGGGTTTCCCTACCCTGCCACAGGCGCTACGGTGGCCTACAGGGGTGCCCACTTGCGGGGACGGGGACGAGCCGTGTACAACACGTTCCGCACAGCTCCGCCTCCGCCACCCATCCCTGCTTACGGAGCGTGAGTCTCTACTCTCTGCACCTCTGAACACATCGACACAGCAACCTCAGTGCACAGATAAAGACTCACCTCAAGTAATTACATTCAGAATGTTAAAATGCCACAATATTTACCCCATTAAACACAGAGCAATACATAAAGGAGTAATATTATGTATTATTCATCAAAGTAAAGACGTGCTTTGATTTTTTCATACATGTTTGAGAAATCCTTTAATCTCCATGGCAACCTTTCAGCAGTTAAAACGCCTGGATGGACCAAGCCCCGCCTTGAAGACGTAGCTCCTCCTCCACTCAGCTCCTTCAGACTAGCCAGCAGCAATTAGCAAACAGCTGGTGGAACTGCTGCCCAGAACAACGCTGGTAAAAACCTTAAAGACGGAGCCATGTTGGTAGGACTTCCTGAAGACATTAATTAAATGTCTTTTAAGTCACACTTGGTATATATCATTTTTAGAACAACTGGAGGTAACATAGTTACTTGATTATGCTACAAAATGGCTCTACGTCTGTGGAAAACACATAATGCCACCACTGTAAGAATTTATTTTTTATTTGAAACTGGGCTGACAGAGCAATGCTCCTCACTGAGAAGTAGTTTGAATGACAATCTCTGCAGATTCACAGCTCCACCAGGTGTTTGCTAACTGCGGCTGCCGCTAGTCTGCAGGAGCTGAGTGGAAATCAAGGGTTCCTCAAACATGCATGAAAACATCCAGGCAACAATCCAGGACTGTTTCTGCTAAGGGAATAACAGTATAACACGATGCGAAGCTAAAAAAAGATGAAATATGCTGGGGGGTTTTCCAGTTAAACTTTTATTAATATCTGAGCACTGGACTCAGATAAAACCTGAAGACTTTTATTAAAGCACCTGATTCATGCAAAAGGAGCCCCAAACAAGATTCCCTTTTTATCGGTGTGATGAATCATTAAAATAACCAGAAATAAAGCACATGGTAATACAATTATGCTAGTTTCAGCTTTTCGAAACAAATAGTGAAATAAATAAATCAGTTTTATACGTTTTTGAGATTAAAAGCATCGAGGAGATGAGTGTAAACTTGAGGACCTGCTGGTGAGAGCTGAGATTAGTGGGCCGATCTCAGAGGACCGGTGCTGATCTGCTGCCTCTTATCAGCCGAGGTGTGTGTGGCCGTGGGAGAGGTCTGGTGGCGGCCGGCCGGCCCGACGCGAGGGGCCCGGCGCGGCCGCATATCTGTGATTAGATCAGGATCAGAGCAGAAATCCCACGGCCCCTCCCTCCCACTCTCAGGCCCTTTGCTACCGCTGGCAGCCGCTTGATTTATACAGCAAAGTCATGTGACAGAGCTGCCTTCTCCGATTGCTTCCTATTGTCCTCCCTCCTCTCTCCAACAACTGCAGCAACTGGAAAGACAAACAACTTTAGCAGAGCAGAAAATTGGACAGGGATTTGAGATGGTTGCACCTTTCAGTTTAACGTGTCATTCATTATTTGTGGATCGGCGCGCTGCGGCTGCCAGGAACCTGACCTCTCTGGCATGCAGACTAACTCCTCTTTCTTGTCCTCCAACTTCGCAGGGTGGTGTACCAAGATGGCTTCTATGGCGCAGAGATCTATGTAAGTACAGTCGGCTTTTCCTCCTGGCTGAAGCAGACACGAGGCTCAGCCTGGAGACAAAAACGTGATCTGCTCAGCAGCGCCGCTGCCAAGCCCGCGTCGATTAGGCCTCGCTCCGCCGTGCCAAGAAACCCGACAACAAAATTTAAAACCCCCTCAGCTCCTCCCTCCTCGCTCCCTTCCTGTGATCTCAGACTTTGGCAAAGAGGCGGACCCTGACTCAGTGTCCCGTGTCAAGTTGGTTCATTTAGATTCTTCCTCCGGTGCGGCGCTGGCTCTGAGGGCTTGGCCGGGATATCCCTGCCCGCCCCAGGGGCGTCTGCCCGGGCCAGAGTGGAGCCGGTGGCCCCCATACAACCGTCACCTCCAGGGCGATAAGAGCAGCAGCAGCAGATAAAGCGATTTCCCGTCATCGCCCTTCACAGAAGCTGTGGAGATGATGCTGAAATTACCGCACTGCCCCACTCTGACACCAGTCCACACCTGTGTGTGTGTGTGTGCGTGCGTGTGTGTGTGTGTGTGTGTGTGTGTGTGCGTGCGTGCGTGCGTGTGTGTGTGTGCGTGTGTGTGTGTGTGTGTGTGTGCAGTTCGTCCCTTTGATTTTCCTGCTGCTGAGACAGCGAGATGACAGTGGGCACAGCGGCGGTGACAGCTGCTTCTCACTTTCACCCCAGCCGACGCGCCGCGGCGGCGGCGTCTGGAATGAAACGCTAAACCCAAGAGATATATGGCTTACACACCGGCCCGCTTGATAGGACCGTATTTCAACAGCTTTTATTGCGCAGACACCCACCGCCACAGGAGACAGCGGCGCTGAACGAGGCTCGGCGAGCGCCTGATGGCCGCTCTGCTTCCGCCAGACAGTCGGATATCTGGGAAAAACTGGGAAAGTAGTTTAACCTCAGAGACGAGAATCTTTCACTGCCTTTCCATTTGATTCCAGTTTTTAGCTACGATTCGATTCAGAAACCAAGTTTTATATCATGAGAAAAAGACAACGTAAACAGAGAATATTGAAAACAGTGTTATAAATATAAAGTTCCATATTATATTTAATTCCATCAGTTTATACTTAAACAAAAATAAGTTTGTGCCTAAAATTCTGTAACTTAATAGCCTCGCCGCGTGGCTTATTCTTAAATGAAAACGAAGAAGAAACCATCAAATACTGTTAAATAATAGAACAAAACTATTTAATTAAAACAGTTTGACACAAAAATGTTTGAGCATTTTGAACTGAGTGAGAATCGCAGGATGAGATTCTTTCCTAACGAACCTCCTGGTGCCATGTTTAATTCCTAACAGGAAGTCATGGTTGCTTCGAAGCAATCTGATTGGCTGATAGGTTCTGGCTTAGTGCTACGCTGCCCCCTATTGGTTTGGCATGTTTAAAACGATCGGGAAAAGATCCAATGTTTTGTTTGGGTGGTTGTTGTTTTTATATCGTTCATCATGATAAGAATTTTGATTAATTGTTGTCAGAGAAGCAGTGATGTTAAAAAAACCTAATGTGTCATTATTTGTACAATTTTCCCCAGTTTGTTCAGTAGGCGTGTCAATAAGTGTGAAAATGTGATGAGATGCAGCCCTTTATGTGAACGGTCTACAAAAGAAGCTACTAAGCATCAAGTTTATTGTTGTCACAATATTGTGATCAAACCAAGTCCATATCGCCAAACCCTACTTCTGCACACGCGGGTCGCTTTGGGGGCGTAAACGCTGCGGTCACATTTAATTAGTAGCATGAACGACCACGCAAAACAAATTGTATTTCATCAGAAAACCATCAGATTTGAGCATCAGGACCAGCTGTGTCCAAACAATCAGTCAGTGCTGTCAGAAACAGCCCATGCATGCAGCAGGACTGCATGCGCTAATACATATGCATGCTCCTCCATGCAGAAACACACCGCTGCACACGGACATGATTGCGCTAACACACACCCTCCTTGACAAAATAACAAATGTGCAGCTCTGCTGTGTGCAGGATTTGACAATGTGGTGATTTATTGGCCCCTGTTTGTTGGGGCTGTTGCCGTAATCAGCGCGGTCCCAAGACAGGCCTGTCCCACAGGAAGTCATCTACTGTGACTTCCTGTCCCCTTGGAAAACAACGCCGGGATCCAGTCGGTTCGGGACGAGGACGCTCATTCGGACGACCCCTCCCAGTTTAAAAATGAATGAAAACATGCATTATTAAGAACCACCTATCCGGCGTTTGGGCCCAGACGGCACACGCTCCGGTGGCGCTAATAGAAAAACAGTGGGAGAACGGCTTCATTTTTCAAAGAGAGTAATAGCAGCACTCCACAATGAGCTCTTTAATTCCTTCCCCACTCTGGCAAATGAATACAGCAGTCCTGACTCCCTGACGCTCCAAACGCCGCCGTCTTGCTTCATTTAGAGCAGAAGAAGAAGCGGCTGCGGATAAACGTCCTCGTCTGAAAACGGCTCGGATTTGGGACTCGGCTCCTGTTGCTGCTCCTCCACTGGGCTTCTGGTGTCACAATAAGTTGCTCCCCAAATGTGCTGCTTCCTCAGATCATCATTCACTCCCCTAATGCCACCTCCTGCTGCCTGCACCATACATCAAACAGCACCCTCTGGTGTCTCAGAGGGGAGCTGCAGCGCCGCGCTGTGGGCTCAGGACCAGAACACTGTGCAGTGACATTTAAAGCTCCCAGCCAGGATTGTTGTTTGCTTGTGTATCTGAATTCTAACCTTTCTCTGAGCAGGTTTGCTTAATCACTAATTAATACTTTGGTATTTTAACAGGGCGGCTATGCAGCATACAGATTTGCCCAACCCACCACCACCGCTGCTTACAGTGACAGGTGAGCCTCCCGCCCCGCCAGGAAACACTGCACCAACCCTGCAGTCGTTCAAATGCGGACCTGGTTCTGATTCAGATCCTAAGAATCACAGAAATGGGTTTTTTTGGTTTTAGTATCTGCATGCTCTGAGAAATAAAAGCTAAACATTTTCTCAACTACTGACTATGACCTCTGACCTTGTTGTGATATTTCAATAATCTCATCATAGCAAAATCTTAAATAATGGTTTTATGATCTCTAGATAACAAGACTTGAATCTTATTTCATTATCTGAGTGCAGCTGATTTTCAGATCATCAATATTTCATTGCATGAAATAAGCCTCAGCTCACCGACCGACCAGCGAACTCATGGCCCGTATCAGTTACACCTCTACCTGTCGCAGCATTTTAGCCAAAGTGAAGCTGTAATGATTCTCTTGTGAAGGTAAATTTGTTGGTTGTCTCTTTGGTGCTTGCATTCTGATGGGCGAAACGAGATTACGGTCCAGTCCAACATGTTGAGTGTCGGCTCGGTTCCGATGTTTCCTGACCGGATCACTCCAAACACACGGCAGAAACTTCTCTTAAAACGTGAACACATGAATGAATGGCTTTGTTGCCTGGCAACAAGCCCAAATTCTAGATTTTGTGTCTATTGAGGCGAAACCGACAATAAAATGAATCAATGGTCCAGTCCAGTTTATTTGTGCTTCATAAAAGCATCAACGGCTGAGAAGCAGCATTACTTTGACAGGAGTCAGAAACATCAACACTCATCAAAATGTTGGTTCGTGTTCCCTTTACTGTCACTCTAAACTGATGGTTTTTTATTACATTTAAAGGAACTCAGTGTTTCGGCTGTTTTGCAGTTTTCTGGAACCTCCATGTCAATATGGCTCAGAAATCCCTCCAAATGTTCTGCAGTGAATCTGAGCGTTACTCGTCTTCCTCCATGTAAAACTCTGGAAATATAAATATTTTCCATGCTCAGAGGAATTGTTGGCTGACTTTTAAAGGATACATGAACCCTGTGTCTGTTGTAGTGACTGTTGAAGACGCATTTCTCTTCATCAGCAGCGGGTGGAATGATGGGAACATCTATAGTTGGTTCGACAAGCTATCTTTGGTAACGAGAACTTTACTGACTGAAGCAGAATTGGTTGAAGTGAAGGACTAGCAGAGGTTGGACTTTAGCTTCACGTAATTAGTGTTTCCTAACAATAAGGAACATATCTACAGGCCAAACGTAGCGGTGATGAATGGTGGATGCTTCATCAGCGTTTTACCGTACTCTGAAGGTTATTTAGGGTTTCCTGAGGATTTCTTCCTCTCATTTCATCTTATCCATTAGGCGTATTCTTTTTTTAGCTCGGAGCTAAAGAACATGCAGGGGAAAAAGGCTAACCTTGTTGGACTGGATGAGCAGAGCAGTGATATATGTCGTGACTCTGAGAGTGGGTATATCACTGTGGTATTTATGAATGGCCTCAGGTCTGTGGAGGGAGACGGACCAGCGGCTTCTGAGTGATGTCACTCCGGTTCAGGTGCGCTCCGTTCGGAGAGGCTGCGCTGATTCATTTCGGCCCCTGAAAGCCGTTGTCAGCCGGGATCTGGCCCGGTTTGGGAATCTAATCTGGAAAGGATTGAGCATGTCACTTGTGATAACGTACACCCTGCCGAGAGCCTGAAGATCATATCGATAATGTAAGATTTATCAGGCCTGGCCGAGGCGGCTCGAATTATGAGCAGCCGCGCTCGGCGGGAGCAGAATTGGACAGCAGCCTTTTTCCCCTTTCAGTGATTTAATTCCTGTTTCTGTTGCCCATACCTTTCCCTCAGATTTAATATAATTCGCGCCCAGGTTGTTTGTTGTGCTTTGTTTGTTTGTTTCCGTTTGAATAAGCGGCCATGCCCGTTGGATCAATAGGCGTTTGTCTGTATTGTCTCAGCAATACCTTATCGGACTTATCTGTGGGGCGAGGTCACCAGGACTGTGGAAGGCGTGTGAAAGCCTGGTAAAATATGAAACATTTATTATCTGAAAAGCTAACAGTGCTCACAGACAGTATTACCAAAGCCCCATCAGTGAGTGAACAGAGCGCCGCGCGGTGAGGGCGGTCTGAGGGCTCCGTCCCGTTGGGCCGGCCGTCGGACCGGCTCAGTCTCCGACTCCATGGTGTCAAAGTGTTTCTGGAGCAAAACCAGATCAACCGTATTAGCTGCTACAGCAGGAATCTGTCACAATACTCCTTAATCTGATTTATATATAAAACACGCATTAAGTTGAATCTGGAGACATTTCGATGTGTAAAATATGAATTTTCCCAGGATATAAATCTAAGTTTGGTTTCAAGATTAGACTGATATAAACACAGACCTTCATAAAACACAGGCTTGATGGTTATTTTGGGATTATTGATAAGTTGCGTGAACATCAGCAGTGGTTGATTAGCTCGTTTAAACACAGATTAGCTGTCACACAGTGTGTGAGCATGTCACTGCCGAGAGCGTGTTCCGGTTCTGATCCGGTTCGGAAACAGAACCGCAACACGCAGAATTCTGCAGCACATCCACATGCTTAAGTTGCCATAGTCAAGCTAGCATAACCGACCCAAAAAGAAAAGGAAATGTGAAAACGTTGAACCTTGTTTAGTGGTCGTAATGATCACGTTTAGCAGAAAACACTTTGTCCCCTTTTCTGAATCTTTGCATCATTTTTCTGACCCAACGCCTCAGACAGTCACATGACATCATTAAATAATCACATGCTTTTGGTTTTGGAGATGTCATTAGGTTTTTGTTCACAACTTTCAATTCAGGTCAACTCCAGAATCAGAATCAAATTTGGTATTTAAAAACTCAGACATTTTATTTCTAAGCCACGTCGTCCTGCTGGACCTAAACAAACGTACTGACATCGTATGTCGCTCGACGTACCTCATGTACGGCGTGGGAGCTGGATGTCTTGTTGTTTCCTTTAGGGGCTTTTCCTCTTCCTTTTTTTTACTCCCGGTTGATTCGGTGCCCTCAGTCCTTGGCTGGGTGTGCCTTATCTGCTCCGAGCAGACCCTCATTTGCAAGCAAGCGCTGAAAGAGAAAAAAAACACACAGAAGCAAAGTAAATAGAGGAATATGCGAAGTCAAATAAATAAATAAATAAATGAGGCAGCCACATCTTGTCCTGTCTTAGAAGGAAATTGGAAGGATTAGTTCCAAACCAGCAGCAATGAAAAGACAAGGGCGTGAGCCCAGTGTGCAGCCCGGGTAAACAAGCTCCGGGGGAGAGACCCGGCCCTCCAGCTGCCGCTTTCCTCCCTCTGCTCTTTACCTATTCACTTAATCAAGACGACAGAGCAAAGACGAGCGCCATGCACCAACCTTTGAACCTTCCTTTGTGATCTGCCTGCTATGATGCGGGAAGCCCAGGAGGCCGAGGAGGGAAAGAACCGATTGTACGCCAGACTTTGAAGAGCTGAGCATGAAACAAGAATGCGTAACTGTTTGTCAATGATAGATCAATGACTGTCTTCTCTGTGCTTCTTGTCATGCAGCTATGGCAGAGTCTATGCAACAGCAGACCCCTACCACCACACGATTGGCCCTGCTGCCACATACAGTGTGGGGACCATGGTGAGTCTCTGAGAGCGCCGCCTCTTCCCGTCTGCACCCGACTCTGACATCATGACGGTAGCTAGCACACGCTGTACCACAAAGACCAGCGGCTGCAGCCATCCCGGTTTTTATTCACCTGTTTTTTTATTTTAATTATCTTCATTAATTGATTTAGTTTTTGCCATGCTCTCTGGCACACCCTAGTGGAGCTGAGCAGTACTGTGAAGCCCCTGGCATGTGGAAGCTGGCTCAGACATTTAGTGCGATAACCGTACGTTCTCACCTCATGCATCACTGTTTGACTCGAGTTCCTCCTGTAATGAGAATGATTTGTTTTCATTTTTCAAGCTTTTCTGTTTTTATCCGACCTCATGCAACTCGCCGTCAAGCGAGTTGCCTCATCTTTTTGTTTTCATTCAGCCAAACCTCTGAAGGGATGAAGTTCAATTGTTAATGTCTGTTTTTAGCTAGCTTTTGCAGCTACTGTAACATCAAAGATGAAAAGATAAAAAACGAACCAGAAGATCACCTTTTTTTGGAACTGACAGTTTCTCTTTGGTTTTGTTTTACGGCGAGGAGGGGATGGGAGCGGGCTCGCAGGCCAAACGCACAGATTAAGGGCCATGAGACGCATGCAGCAGCGTGCCGTGGGACATAAACAAGAGAGCCAGACAGAGGGGCGGGGAGTCGCCTCGCCCTCCTCTTCTGCCCAGTAGCCTGATCGGAGGCGCGCTCTCTGCTTGAGAAATAACTCAAATTTCCGGCATGCATGCGATTTTTCAACAGCAATAAACAGAAAAATCTAAAGCTTTAAGTTCCCCGGTGCAGCTGCTAGCTAAAAGCTTTCATTAATTAAGACATTTCTTTCTCCCTCTTCATTTACTTAATTAAAAAAAATGTGCTTGAATGTTTTTTTATTCTTTCTTCTTTTCCCTCCAAATTTCCTTCCATTTTCCTCACTCTGAAAATCGTCCTCTTGATTGAAAGTAGACGACGGGATCTGGCCCCTGAAATTATCAGAGCTAATGTTTGGTGTGTGTTGGGAGCTTGGGAAGCTTAACAGAGACCCGAGAGAGAGAGAGTGTGTGTGTGTGTGTGTGTGTGTGTGTGTGTGTGTGTGTGTGTGTTAAACAAACAGTGAAGCTGCTGGGAGATGCTCTGCACAGAGGCCAATATCTAATAAACTCCTGAGCTAAAGAGAGGAGACCCGTTTGGTTCTTAATTCTTTAATCATATTTGATTAATGCTCCTCCAGCAGAGTGAAGTCATTTTGCATTTAAAAGCTATACAATAATTAGTTCCTCTGAGGTTGGAAACCCTCTTTTCTCATTTCCAGCTTGCAGACGAATCTAATACGGATAAAAGTTTTTGCACAAGCAAGAGGACTCCCTGAAATTAGGCAAAATTAGCCGTTGAAGGCGCTCGGCCGCCTTTGGAGTTTCCTAATTGCAACGGAACCACATAGAGATGAGAGGAGGGACTGTGTGCGTGCGTGCATGTGCAGGTGTGCATGCATAGGCCCACTTGCATGCTTTATGTGTGTCTGCCCTAGATATCCTGAGCATGGTGCTAAATCTAAGGGCCAATATCCTGTGGTGGTTTGCCCCTCCAGAAAGGTGCAGGCACCTCTGCAGACATGAAAAGGAGCCGTGATTAAAACTCTCAACTCCTTCAGCTTCCCTCTAATTTACAGCCCTGCAAGGACTGACTTCTCCAGCAGAAAAATACACTTATTTCTTTCATTTTAATTAAAGTAACTATTGAATCTGGGATTAGTGTTTCTATGACTTTCATTTAAGAAAGTGCTCTTTTTTTTTCTTTGCTCCCACAGATTATAAATTACGTCGGCTAAGCTCTGAGTCCACCAATCTACTCCGGCTCCTGCTGACCCTGTTCCTAACACACACTCAGAGAACATCAAGTCAGGCAATCAATTCAGCAAAACAATTATCGGCTTAAATATATCAAACTATCAATCTGCCTGCTGACCGTTCCCATTCGAAAAGTTGCTCCAACATGGAAAGTCAATAAGTTTAAAGGAAGGAAATTTGCAGAGAAAGAGAATCCAACTAAAGCTGTCACCTGAATACTGATTGGTACTTTTTCATCTTTGATGTTGCAGGCTAGCCTATACAGAGGAGGGTACAGTCGCTTCACTCCCTACTAAAAGAAAGAAAAAAAGCGAGAAAAGACAGAGAGACATTACCCCAAACAAAAAAACAAACTATCTTTAGAAGGAAAAAAAAAGTCAAACACGTAACAAGCGAACAGCCGGTCCTTGGTGGAGAGCTAAATCAGACAAAAAGCTTCCAGGTCCACATGCTGAGCCCCTCCCCTGACTCCCTCTACAACAACCTCTTTGATGTCATCATTGGTCTGCTCTTGTTTTGTATTCATTTTGTGCTTCTGGTTTTCTTTTGGAAACTTTTATGCACATGTGCATTATCTTGATTGCTGTATATGGGTGCTGTGTCACCATAACCAATGTGAGCCTACTGCAGCACGCATGGTGCATGCTCAGAGGTGTGTGTATGCAGCCGCTGTCATCTGACTGAGAATGCACCGGGTTGTTTCTGTCTCACACACAACAAGCAGAAATCAGGTCACTTCAATCCACTTCTTAACAGAAATGACGCTAACTGAACCGAACCTGGTGATTCTTAGCTCAAAGACAGCGCTGCTCTGACTGCTTTGATTTTTTTATTCCTTTTTTAACCTTAGAGTGTCCTACTGTTGTGCACTTGCAGTGGAGCCTTACAAGCTGTACAATGTGGTATGACAGCATGCAGAGTTAAGGGTCATGAAGGTCAGATTTCTGTTTTGGGACTCACACGGAGGCCCGGTCTGCTGCAAATCGCCGTACATGCAGCTATTCTGCAGCAGCGAGTGTTTCAGGGGAGTAACGCCGGCGGGTTGCGTTCAGGGCAGCATGGAAAATAAAGTAGGAGCATCGGCGTTGCCCGGCGGCAGCGTGGATTCCCGTCTCGGCTAATGCTCGGTGGTTTTCCTAATACCTGGTGGAAGTTATTGGTGTTGAAACCAAACCGAATGAAGCGTGCACTTTGAGTTGTTTCAACTTTTGTTTGCTAAGCGTCTCCTAAACGCTCGTACCAGAAGAGATGGAGTTCTCCTGAACATGTCGCTAAACGTAACGCAGCAAAGCATGCAGGAGCAGAATCTGTGTTATTAAATAAAACCCATGAAAAATCAGTAGAGACTGTAGCCTGTAAATAAGATTTATTACACGACTGTTGTAATGGATTACTGTAGAGAAATTAGATTAGCGGATCGACACAAGTTGCTTTAAGAACTTTGCTTGCTGCTGTTATTGCATATTGAGCTTCTCTGGTTTTTTGATTTTCATTAGAGCGAAACCGGCACTTTGAAGACGTCGCCTTTGACTCTGGAGAATCAAGATAAGAAGGTGGCGTTAGCGTTGCAGTTTGCAGGCAGTTCCTCCCCTTAAACCGCCGTCTGAGCGAATTAGCTGCATGGGGGCTGAGTTTGCAGCAGACTCGGCCACATATCCTCACTATTAACATCAAGTCGCACACGCACAGTAAAGACACGGCGCAGAGGAGGGGCGAACCCTCCGCCCGTCACTGGGATCTTTTCTTTAAGCATTGCACAAAATGTTTTACCTCAGGATAAGCTAACTAAAGTTCACAAACTAAGATCCAGAGCTGCTCACTCCTCAGCATTCAGGACAATTGTTTTCTTCCGCAACCAGCACGCTCCGCCTCTACGGAGCCCAGATGTTATTATTATTTTCTGTTAGAGACCCCAGGAGAGAACGATAAAATAAGACTGTACTGTTCTGAGCTACAGCTTCTGTAATATATAGATAGACATTTACTGTATAAGACATTTTACACAGGAAGATATAACCCAAAAGCACCCAGGCGTTAGGAGATGTAGAGCTAGTCCACATCCAGTCATTGGCTTCTACTTGTGATTCTACGTGATTTAAAGGAAATCTCTGTGTAGCTACTGTTAGCTGGTTTCAGTGCAGCTATGGGAAAAATCAAAGCTATTGCCAATAATATTTACTTTACATGTACTCACACAAGTGTTTGTGATCTCAAAAAAAATGTCTGTTGCACTTTGGGTTTTTTTTTTTATTTCTTTGAGATGTAACATATTTATGAAATCTCATATACAGCTAGTCATGTTTAGTCAAAATGTTAAAATGACAGAGTAATGTTGTATATCCGAAAAAAAAGAAAAGTAGCTCATTATCTCATGAGTCAAAGAAGATCTTTATGTGGATATAAAAGAGAAAAAAACATTGTTCTTCCTTTTCTATGCTAGTGTGAATGCCCCCCGACATTCAGGGGTTTTATAAGGAGCAAAACAAACTTTGAGAATTATTTTTAGCAAACAGTTTCATGAGTGGGTGTCCAGTCAGTGGCCACCATTAGCAAGCTAGCCTGGAATGAAACCCACCTCTTTTCTGTCTTTCTGATCTGAATGTGTGTGCCTATGATGTGCTCTATAGATATAAAATATATATGAATATGCATCAGAATGTTTGACTGTGATGGAGGAAGGAAACGAACAGGAAGAGAGCGTGACTTCACTCAGAGTCCCTGGAATAACATCACCACGTCTCCAAACAAATCATTTTACATTTTCATCAAATGTCGACATTTTTCTGTTCGTTTAGCAACAGCTGTAAGAATATAACATTATTACGACGCCTGCAGAAGGATGATAAGCATTTTCTTTACCATCTCCTTCATAAATAAGAAAAATGTAACTATGTTTTTCATATTTAGCCCTCAGATAAAAAGCTTCTGTTGGTCAATAACCGTTTACAGAATCATTTTCTAAACTTGGACTGTTTAGAAAATATGAAATCTTTGTAGTGATTTTCTTATCTGACTTTAGCTTTTTTAAATAGCATTTTCTCACATAAAAATAATTTATAAGTAGTAAGTTATCTGTTGTATTTCTAGACGTAAAGAAATGTTTTCTGTAAATAGATATTTGTAGAGTATTTGGACTTTCTCAGCAGCCTCATATAAAACTGTTTTCTGGTTTTACAAACATTTCTGATTATCATTTCATCAACCCAAATCAGATTAAATTTAGCTTGTTTTTCTCTGATTGGTCCAAACCTTTTGTCACCTGGGCCAAAGTTCAAAATAAACATCCAATATGTTAATGAAACACATAAAGTAGTCAGATTTTAGGAGTGTATGTGTTGAATATTAAAGATCCAAAACTTATCATGGGTTTTGCAAATTTAACAAAATTTCTAGGTATCAATAGGTCAAAATTGAGTCAGTTCTGACCAATAAAGTCAGTTTTTAAGTTTAATAAATTAATTAAAAGCAGATTTTGGTGCAGCTTTTGCATAAAAGTGATGTGGAACTTACAAGAGAAAGCAAAAAGTCTGATTATTTAAAGCCAAATAACTGGTGACGTTGCCAATATTTTAATTGGCAATAGTTGGAGATTTTACTTGTGATCAATTTGCCGCAATTAAAAATAGAAAGTCAACCCTGCTTTAAGACAAAGGCACCAACAGAATTAAACAGATTTAATTTTATAAAGCTCCATTTCTGTCTGGATCTGGACCAAACAGAACAATTTGAGGAAAATGTCACCAGTTGATATTTCCTGATATTTTGGCAACCAGGAAATCTTCTGGACATGAAGAGTTTAAAGCTTCAGTGTCAGAGAAAAAATGGCTGCTCTCATCCATCAGTCTAATTACCAGAGCAGCTGCAGGTTGATGCAAAGACAAAGATCAAACTCTTAACCTCCAACATGAAGGAGGAATTTATCACAGGAGCGCTGAAGTGGTCCATCAAGCATCCACTACTTTTTATATCAGTGTTATTTGCAGACAAATATTAAAATCAGAATGATGACTGAGGCTGTGTTTAAATGTTTCATTCTGAATTTTCATGGAAACTGTTGCTCTGGTAATTTTAAAAGGAGCTTAATTAGTTTGGAGATGTTTTATTCTGTAAATAGATTACGGCTTTAATAATAGTTTCTCCCAATGATTTGTGGTTCATACTGCTGAAATGGACTTTTTAATCCATTATGGTCATCAGAGTGTGGTGATACACTAATTCGCTTTTGGTAATTACACTGAATGTTAAAGCATTAGCATATGCGATGCAATTAAGAGGAAATGGAGATGTGTTTGTGAATGTAAGTTATCCCGACAAACATCCCGCTGCGAGGGAAACGTTTTGCTTTTTCCCCTGATGTGATGTTATTTCCGGGACGAGTGGGTCGTTGTCAGAGCCGCTCCTAACAGTCTGCACGGGTTTGTCAACAGTTTACAGAAAAAGTTCCAATTAGCTGCTTCAATGTCAGCTTATCAAGGCTTAAATGTTATAGATATAATATTAATTAGCATTCTATAGTGTCAAGATCTAATGCATTTTATCATGCTTACAGTAAGTCAAATGTGAATTTATAGTACAAAGACTCTAACTTTTAGGTTTGTTTGCTTTTGTTGTACTTTACCAGCTTAATATGCAACCAGTTCTCTATTTGATCCACCTGTTTACACTTATTAATAGTAGTACTGAGCTATGTTTACATATGAGAAGAAAATACTCTTTATGCATCGTTTATATTTACAAGTATTCACTAAGCCCTGATAAGCTGGCAGGTGAGTTTATTAATCCACCTAAAAATATTTGTACAAAAGAAAACCAAGCAAAAACGTCGCAGCACCTGTAAATACATTTAAATGTATATACACACAAACTATATCATGATTCTCTGAGTAACTGTTTTATATGTATTCCTATATGAAGTGGGGTTATATGTGTATTTTCAACTTAGCTCAACCTGTTCTTGAACTCTGTCATTTCTATAATGAGAATATATTGTCTGAAAGGTGTAAAGTAATTTTCTTTGAGATTAATTTCATAGGTAAAAGGTTTACTATAATGAAACTTTTAGTTATTCTTGAGATCTTTCTGTTGTCAGTATGTGACATATAAGTAACCACTGATTGTTTTCTGAGTGTCAGAATAAAGCAGTTATAAGAACATTATGTCTTCCTTCACACATTGATGTTTGTTTTCAAGAAAAACTCGATTTGGGGTGAATTTTCTTTTTGTTTTTCTGTTTCAGTTTTTCTCAGAAAGACAAAATATTCATGCCTGGATGCGTCTGGCCATGCAGATACCGATCAATTATGAGCTTTAAATTGTATCAGAAACAGTAAATTCAGCAGCATTTTGTACTTTAAAACAGAACTTTATTCAGAAACCAGAAGAAATGAATCATGCAACAAACTGAACTGAGTGGGAGAAACACGTCATCCTCCAGACAAACAGGAAGCTGTAAATGTCCCGGCCCTGACTAACCTCTCCTCATATGGAGAAACCTTCCTCTAATTGAAAAATAATATGTTTATGTCTGCATGATTAGCGGAAACACTTAGTAATTCTCCAATATCATCGGCATAAAGAAAGACTGGAGCCTCTTTCTCAACATGTTTTCTTTGACTCTCTCTGCCATTTTGATTTAGTGTTGAAGTTTTCAGCATGGCAAAGTGAAAAAGGGAAAACAAAGGAAAACATCAATGGTTTCTATGGTTTCGAGTGAGCAACACAATATTTCCTACCAACCAAGAGTCGGTTCAACCAAGAGTCGGTTCATACGTCCTTCACTGCCAATGATTTAAATACAGGACTCAGAACTGACTATTTTAATCGTTCAAATGCAAATAATATCTGAATGTAAATCAAATCTTCCTTATTTCTGCTCCAGCAAATCAGCACCAAGAAAATGGAATGGTGCTCTTGGATTGGCTGCTTTTGAAATGCCAGCCAATCGCGTGTCAAGCAGTGTTGTCGAGGTATTCCAGCTTCTCACTTTACATCTGAAAAATCCTGTGAATAATGAACAGCAAATATTAGTGAACTTTCAAAATCACATTTTCACCTTTGTTGGCACAAAGCTGTTCAGTTGTGTTTTTATTGGAAACTCCAAACTAAATGAAGATTTACAGGAAATGTATGAAGAACCAGCATCTATTCATAATTCATGGATTTCACCAATTCCATGAATTAGCTGAAAACAAAAACATTCAAAAGAAAAAGCAGTTTGAGAAGCTGAAACACAAAAGTACAACGATAGTTGACTCGCCATTGGTTGGCGTTTTTCAAAACTAAGTCCATTCCTTTGTGCTGATTGGCTGAATCCCCAAAAGTACTCTTAAGGAAGACTGCCAATGTCAGCTGCTGCAGTATTTCCCAGATGGGTTCAATTCAAAAATACTTTATTGGTCACAAAAGGAAATTAACTTGTTGTAACGTGTAAACGTATATTTGGTGTTTTAACTAACAATATAAACAGTTGCAAGTGTTTTTAGAGGTCTGAAGTGTTTGTGCCAAAGAGTTCCAGAAATTAATATGCATTAACTCATGGTTGGTAAGACAACCAGAACAGGAAGCGCCCATATAAGAAAGTTAGTGGGTCTGCTTGAACTAGGCCGCTACATCATCTGGTTTCAGAGCCATTAGTTCTAACTGAAATGAACTGAATTGTCACCGAAATGCAATCATGAACCATTGTTAATGATGCAGTTGATATATTTATCTCCGAATTGCTATAATGTTTATTAATTAGCATAAAATTACGCTTAAAAAGTGAAGAAAATGTGAAAAATTTCTCTAAACTACACAGGGTAAGGCAGCTCTATGCTTTAGTGACGACGAACAGAGAAGTTTAATGGCTTCTGAACAATTTAATGATTAGATATAAAAAGTTATTAGTGACTATAAATTAGTAAAACAAAGGAAAAAACCGCAGCCTCCTTCTAGAACCGTATCTGGATGGCTCAGACCCACCGGGTTTTAGCAGATTTCATAAAGAAGCACAGACTCTAACACCTGAACTAACCCTCTCCTGAATCCTTCAAGTCTGCGTGTGATTAATATATTTGTGTCTGCAGTCCTTCCAGGACCAGGCAGCCTGTCAGCGAGGACTATATGTAGCTCCAGCGCCATTGTGCTCCCTCCCTGCTGAGTTGTAAGACTGCGTGTGGATATTTTTGTATGGCAGCTCCCAAGTGAGCGCGCAGTAAATCTGAGGTATGGAACGGAGAGCGGCGGGGAAACGCTGGGCCAGTCCTCCGTGAGAACAGAGAGATGGATGGATGCTGACTGAGCACGCCACTTCATTGTTTGTCTCTCCGGATTGGAAGTTGGACTACAAAGCCATTTCCAAATCAACGCCTCATCTTCTTTCATGCCCACATTTCTTTATCAGAAGCTCCAGTGAGCTGCTGAAGATCAGTGCGAATTAGTGAGCATCTGTCGTGACGAGGGTCCGGGGACGGCCCCCCTCGCACCACGCCCGCTCTCCTCCGCCTCCATCCAGCCCCATTACGCCAACACTTCTCACTGCGCTCCGCCAAAGCGCCGATCTCCACATGTATGATTACAGCCGACTCTGATCTTTATTCTGGCGAGAGCAGCGGCGGCGGCGGCTTGTTTTATGCTGCGTTACAAAAGATGTTTTCTCTCCAAACTTCAAGTTCATGTCGGGTGTTACGACTCTGTGCTCAAACCTCATCCAACTTTCCTCCTTGTAAAATTGTAGTTATATCTGTACGTTTGTTGCATGTTTTGCCATGTTGAAAACTGGCACATCTATCACAGTGAGTCATCACTTTCTGCATATTTACCAGTTCTCCCTGCTTCTCTCCCCTGTTTCTAGTAAATACAAAACGAAGAGCTGTACTCAGTATTGATGGACATCACAGATGAAAACAACGAAGAGAGGAGAACTAGCTTTAAGAAAATAACACAAGAAGAAGAAGACGAGAAGGAGTCCCTCTACTGAGGCTGGCGAGGGAAGACGGGAGGCGTACAAAGTGGCGCCGCGGCAGTGGTGTCAAACCAGCCACAAACTTGACAGATGGAGTGAGCCAGTTTCCACCAGGGACCACCTTTTTGCCGGGTAGAAAAAAAAAAGACAGAGAGAGAAGGAAGTGTCCCGTTATTATAAAACATTTTATTTTTCTATACTTTTGTGATTTACAATGGTAAAAAAAAACAAAAACCGTGTGTATAAAGCAGTATATATGTACAAATCTGTTTTTATGTTTTTTGGTAAGGGAGATGAACAGTTGGCCCTTGATGCTGAAGGAAGGAGGAGGGAGGATGACCTCCCCGCCCCCCGCCTCCTCTCTCTATGGCACACTGCTCTGTCACCGAGGTCGTGTAAAAAAACAACAAAAAAAAATACAACTAAAAACAAGAAACGAAAGAAAAAACAAAAGGTGGCAGGGAGAGCTCGGCATCCAGGCAGATGCACTTTCTACGCTGTACTTCCTGTGGGCGGAGTCTCGTGGCTCCGCCCTCTTCCTTTCTGGGCCGATGAAGATGACGCCGCCGCTTCCTCCTTGTCGTGGCGTCGCCGGCCCGCAGCTCCTACTGTTAGCAGCGTCCCCCGTGGATACTGTCGTGATGTCACTTCCTTTTTGGCAGCACCATTGGGCATCCCCGCCCTCCCCAATGGGCAGAGTCACTGGTTTACAGCTTTGGGGAGTGGGGGGTGAGCCACGGCGGGACGGTGACACGGTACACAGCCGAGCCTCCCCGTCTGCCCCTCTCCACGCCCCAGCAGAGGTCACTGACTGAAGGACTACTTAGAGAAAAATGGCGCCAAAGCCGCTGACTTTATCCACCTGCCAGACTCCGAGCCCAAGCCTTGTGTCACTCTGCACCGACGGATGAACTGTCAGACCAACACGAAAACAAGGTGCGTACAACTACCAAGGATGCACGTTCCCATCCGACGAGAATAACTCATCACCATCCATGTAACAAATTGAATTATAATCGAGTAATCCCATTGTACTACATCAGCAGGTGCATAACCAAAACACAAGCCTGAGGCATATAGACTGTGTCGCTAGATAAAACATTATAGAAATACAGTAGTGCCCATCCAACAGTATCAAGGAACGAGGGCTGAAATATGTGATTTCTTTCGTCAATGTATTCTGAGAATATTTGTTGGTTTTTTTTCAGCACTCAAAACTTTTCAACAGAAAAAAGTTTTAATTTTGTGAAAGCAGAACCTTAATTCTTTATATCAGGAGAGTCACTGTAAACGTGTTTAATCAAGAATGTCGGTTCAGTTTTTGAATGTATTTTAATGTCTAGGGTGTCCGATGAGTATGTATTCTTTTTTCTGTATATAAATATATATACATATCTATTATATGGGCTGTGGTGATGTCAGGGAATAGAGGGGGTGGCAGGAAAGCCTCCGGCCCCCCGAGCATAGTTATCAGAACCCCCTCCAACTAAATATGTCCCTGATATTTATTGTAACATGTGATCATGTGCTATACGACTGAAAGTGTGACGGTGATAGTGTGAACTGATCTCCCCTGAGTCCCACCCGTACCACCAACACACGCACTGTGCAGATTCTCGCAGACCAACAGCACACGCTGGATCCCCGCCATCGTCAGAGCAAAGCGTCACATCCCGGCTCCTCGCCGACCCGCCAGCCCTTCAGAGACAACGGTTTACATCTGCAGTTACTCTGACCCCTCACTGGAACTGCAAAGACTTCCTAATTAGCGCAAGGTGTAGTAAAAAGTTTATGAATATTGATTTCTCTTTCTTACTTGAACCAAAGTATGATTTGAAGGTGCAGGCTCAGTGCTCTTTGATCAGGAGACAGCGGGACTCTGGGATGACGGCGGAGCCTGGATGCGTATCGACGTGACCCAGATTTCATTCAGTCACGGCTGCAGAGGAAGCGCTCGCACTTCAGCCGCTTTAACGAGCTGCGCTGAAGGAGGCCAGCTCGCAGCTTCCTGTGGCGGCCTCGGTTTACGAAGCACCGGTCTCACGCTGACCCCGGTGGGCGGGCAGCCGCTTGGTTTTACTGCATATTGGATATAATCTGCTGGCCCTGAGGAGAAAGTTTTTACTTTTTTTGTTTTTTTTAAAATCAAAGGTGAGCAGGTTTGGGTGAAGCACAACTTAGTTTGAGAGTTCAGGGTATGCTACTTGGTTG